ATGCAAGATCTCGAAGATGAAGACATGGTGGAGTTGAACAAAGTTATTGATCTTATTAACACGGGAAGTACAAAAGAACTATCAAACCTTCATGAGCCATTCAACTCTATGGATGCCAATGGTGATGGTAATTTTTTTCTTTTATTTTTCTTTTTGTATTTTGTTCTTTGAGTTTAATTTGATTTTTTTTTTTTTTTTGATTTAAGTGATTTTTAAGAATTAATTTGGATTGTCTTTGAATCTTAAACTTTACCTTGTTGAGAAAAGCCCTAATTGTTTTAACAATAAAATTTCTATGAACACGAATTTTGTGAAAGAAAGAAAAAAAAGAAAAAAAAGAGAGAAAGATAGAGAGATGTTTATTATATATAATTTTTATATTTTTTGACTTGTTCTAATGTTTAAGCATTTGTAATTCTAATCAAATTTTTTTTATTTTTTATTTTTTATTTTTATATATATATATATTGTGTTTTAATAATAAACTAAACCACTCCCTAAATTCACTCGTCTCAGCCTTCTTGTACCAGTGGGAATGATTAGAGATAAGAAAAGTAGTGCTACTATATTGAGTTCTTGTTTTCCTCCCTGTTCGTAGGCTAAAGGGGGAGTATAGTATTTTTTTTTTTTTTAAATGAATTTGGTAATGTTTTTTCATCCCATTGGATTGCTCTGTTTTCAGTTGTTTTAGAAACAAATCCGTTGATCGTCAATTTTTAACACATGCTTACATACTCAACTAAGTGGTCATGTCATGTATTGATCAGTTTTGATGCTAATAATCTTTACTTTTGATAAGATACTTTTCATCATGTGTTCTTTTGTGAGGGTACTTCTGACATATAATACTGACTGTATCCACTTACCAATTGCTACCCACTAACTATCCTTGCTCAAACATTGGTTTCGATCTTGTTCATAAAACTGTGCTTTGCTTTGAATGATTTACTTGTGATATGTAGTTGGGCATTAATTATACAAGATAGTGCAGTTAATAGTGGTTTCAAGCAAAGAGTTAAGATTCATATGGTAATTTTTGTGTTATAGTATTATATTCTCCTAAAACAACGTGATTCTTACCATATGTCGAAAATATTTGGTACAAAATATTGAAGTTTATTTATGATATATTTGATGGCCTTTATTATATGCAAATTTTACAGATGAGAGAAAGAAAGAAGAAATGGGCACCAAAAATCAAGTAATCACACTTGGGTCTAACAAGTTGCTTTCTCTATCTAAGAAAAAATTTTCAAAACGGGAAAAGCTTATTGGTAGTATTCGTAACATAGCAATATCTCAAGGATTTGCCACTAATATTAAAAAGGTCCATAAGAGATCGTTATGTGATCATTATCTGTGATAGAGGAGGTCAATACTGTGATTCCAACATTTCAATGGAACAAAGGAAAAGGATAACGACATCTCGTTTGATAAATTGTCCATTTGAAATTTGTGGTAAAAGAAAAGATGGATTTTGGAAGGTGGAGTTAAAAAATATGTCGCATAATCATGAACTTTTAATCGATATGTCTGGACATCCTTCTTGTCGTCGATTTTCGAAAGAAGAGATCATGCAAATAAGAAAATGGCAAAGGCTAAAATACCACCGCGACAAATACTTTCACCTCTTCGACAAAGTAAATCAAATCTTCAAGCAATATCTAGGAACTTAGACAATACAAAGGCTAAAATCATGAAAGAAAGTTTAACAGGTCGTACAATGATTCAAGCATTGTTTAAAGAATTGGGTCAAGGTGGTTTTACTTTTGATGTTAAGTGTGACAAGGATAATCGTTTGAATCATTTGTTTTTTGCACACCCTTCTTCAATTGCATTAACAAAGAATTATCCGTATGTTTTTGTGATGGATTGCACTTATAAGACAAATAGATATAAGATGCCGTTACTTGATATTATTAGAGTGTCAAGTTCTAACAATTCATTTTATTCTTGTTTTGCTTTCCTGCAAAAAGAAAAAGAAGAGGACTATGCTTGGGCTTTGGAAAGGTTCAAGAAAATTCTTGGTGATGATAGGCATCCTTCAGTGATTGTATCAGATAGAGATTTAGCACTAATGAAAGGTATTCAAGCTATCTTTCCTAGAGTTGCACATCTTTTATGTGTATGGCACACTGAGAAGAATATTCTTTCAAATTGTAAGTGTCATTTTGAAGAAAAAGATGATTGGGATACATTTATATCTATTTGGACAAATTTGATAAACTCTCCTGATGAATCAACATTTGATGAAGCTTGGAATCATTTTGAAATTCAATATAAAGAACAAAGATCTATTTTAAATTACATCAGAAGCACTTGGCTTCCATTCAAAGAAAGATTTGTGAAGGCATGGACAGAGAAATATGCACATTTTGGAAATCGTGTCACTTCAAAGGCTAAAGGTGCACATGCAACACTGAAGAGATATCTACAAGTTTCAACAGATGATTTTCGGGAGGTAAAAGAAAAATTTTCTCTTACAATTGAAAATCAATTTCAAGAAATAAAAGCAAATCTTTTGAGTGAAAAGGTCCGTATTCCATATAAATTTAACATTCCTTTCTTCAAAGAACTTATTAATCATGTTTCTACATTTGCACTTAGGAAGCTTTATAAGCAATATGAGATGGCCAAATCTGATACACCATTGCCTCCATACAAAAAAGGGTCTTCCTTGTGCACACAAGATAAGGGATGAGAAATATATATTTTTGTAGCTTGCTCATATAAATCCACAGTGGAGAATTGATAGATCATTTTTTGATATGGGTGTTGGTTTGATTAATCAAGAAGACCATATTGATGATCTTCTCAAGGAGTTCCATGATAAATACAAACAAATGCCACTTACTGAAAAGGAAGATTCTCGGAAGCAAATTGCTTAACTTGTTAATACTTCCGTTCCTGTGATTCTTGCACCTAAAATTCAACCCCACAAAGGACGTCCTTTGGGTTCAAAGGGAAAAAACAATAATAGTTCTACAAGTCGAGATCCTTTTGCATTTGAGATCGCTGAAAAGATTCGACAATGTGGTGTATGCAAAAACGTTGGGCATAACAGTCGCACTTGCAAACAAAAAGTTAGAACAATTAGATTGAGCCCTCAGTAATAGTTTTCCATGGAATTAAAGCCCTTTTGTAAGTTTTTTTTTTTTTTTTTTAATTATTATTTTTGAAGCTTCTTGTTATATCCTTATTTTTATTTTTTGCAGGTGTAAAATTAATTTTTGGAAATTAGCTAAGATGCTGATAACATCATTATGCATGTAAGTTTCTTTGCTAGGTATTGATTTTACATTACATATGCATTGAAGTTATTATCATATGAAAGAACGCTAATGCATTTTTTACTCATTGTGCAGGTGATATGTCGTTTCCTTTGAGCTTGATTAGTTTATAAATACTAATGGATGGTGAAAATAGTTGGATAAATTATGAATGAAAAATGTAATTGAAGTAGTTTTTGTCATTTTGTTTTCATCTTCACTTTAAAGATGATGTTAAATCTTATTGATGATTTTAGTGACTTTGAAATTAGATAATGGTTTTGGTTCTTTCAATGGCTTCCCTTTGATATCGACTCTTTTTTATTTTGCTAATAAAATGTTATAAATTGTGTTGAATAATATATATCAACTCTTTTATTTTGCTAATAAAATGTTATAAATTGTGTTCAAGAATAATGTTTCTCCTGAATGTATTGCATTTTGACATAGAAAAGTATGTTGCATGATAGGTATTTTCATACCCAAAAAGCTTCAAATGGTTACAGATTCCTCTTCGTGGCTATCGCGAATTCACCAAATGGGTTGAATTCAGCTGCTGTCACAATTTCTTAGATTGACCATGGACGGGAGACAGAAGTGAATCCGAAAGTGCTTGATAACCAGTTCGTCTAGCTACCCAGTAAGAGCTAAATTCTCATGGAACTTTCTGTCTTTGGTGGAGAGTTGGTCTTATTGGCAAATCCAGCCCCATATTTATATGGTTCTATAACTGATGTTTTGTATTCTTTTTGCTTTAAAGAACCGGGAAGAAAATCAACCTACATTTGATCTTCATATTTGAGCTAACAAGACGTATATTTGGAGTTCAAACTCGAAGTGATCGTAATAGGGGCACCACTTTCATATAGCTAGGTGTACTTACCGCCGGCGTGTCTAGGCATATGGTTATCAAAATGGTTTGTCAGATATTCCCACATCTAGGTACAGGTACAGACCATGAACCTTAGATGCTTTTCCATAAAAGGGGCATAAAAATGAGAGACCCTTATCGTGTTGCGCTAAAAGTTTCTTCTAAAAAAATATAGGTCATCTGTTCACCTTTTAAATAGAAAAGGAGAATAATTTTCCTTTTTAATTTTTTTCATTTTCCTTTTTAATTTTTGTCTGGGTGTATGGCATACTTTTGGAAAGTATTTGGTTTAGAAAGGGTTGTTATGGTATAATAAAATAAGAAATGATGCATTAATTAGTTTAGGGACATTTTTGTCATTCACTTTAAAGAGAAAAGGAAAGTGTAGTGTAAGTAGAAAAAATTGGAGTGACAATATTGTCTCCCTATAATATATACAATGTTTGTTTTTTTAATTGACGTGGCCCATTTTGGGCCACACAATTGGACCGCCCCAACAGGACTCTTGTTTGACTAGAGATGATTTTTGTCCTCCAAATACATACCATATACAACCAGCTACAGAGGGGGTGGATGCCGCAACTGGATTTATTTTAATTTATATTATTACCTATAATTTTAACTCAATTTTTAAACATGCCCCCACTCAATTTTTAAACATGCCTGCACATTTTTACCTGGCTGATTTTTTCGCTGGATTTTTTTTTAAAATTTATATTATCACCTTAAATTTTAGTTAAAATTTCAAAAATACCCCCACTCAATTTTCAAATTTATCTACAATTTTTTTTTTTTTTTTTTTTTTTTTTCAAATTTGTCTACAATGCCCCTAAAAAAAAATTCTGGTCCGTCACTGTATACAAAGTTACGCTGGAACTAAACCCTTGTTCAGAATCCACACAATACATACATTTGGAAGTTCACCGCAACAATTGCAGCGGACAGAAGTAGAGCGCGGTGGTCATCACGATGCCACCAACAGCATTGAGAGGTTGTAGGGTTTCAAAACTTTTCTGGTTGAAGGCTTCCCATTCTCTTCCCCATTTTTATCAGTATATAATTTCCTGCAATCGGCCAACAACGCCCCTTTTGGTGATGCTGCGATTAAGCTCCTCGTTTAGCTCTATTGGTGGCAGAGGCGGCGGTAGTCGACCACCACCACCACCACCACCACCACCCCTGAGTGGAGGAGAGGAAGTCTCATCTTCTTCAAACGATCATCGTTTCGATGGCAATACCAATGACCGTCAGCATAACAACGGCCGTCAGAATCCACCATTTCCCATTCCCAATAGGCCTCTAAGAGGAGAGAGACCAATCTATCAGTCTGAACGGAGTAAATTTGATAGTGGTCGGCCCGGGAAGTCAATCGACAAGAATACACCCTTTAGAGTAGGAGGAAACAGAACCGCTTCTCAATCTCAATCTTCATCTTCTGGCAGAGCCGAGAGTGTGGGTGACGATTTTCTTGATAAATTCAAGCTGGGGTTTGATAAAGAAGGGGAAAAGCCCTTACCAGATGCGACAAAACCCCAATTCCGCCAGGAAGAAGACGAAGAGAACACGAGTGATAGAGCAGTCCCTGTGCCGCCGCCGCCACCTCTAACGCCGCCACAGGATGCAGATGAGATCTTTAAGAAAATGAAGGAGACGGGACTCATCCCCAATGCCGTGGCAATGCTTGACGGCCTCTGCAAGGATGGGCTGGTCCAAGAAGCCATGAAGCTTTTTGGTTTGATGCGCGAGAAAGGTACAATCCCAGAAGTTGTCATATACACCGCCGTGGTTGAAGGGTTCTGCAAGGCCCAGAAATTTGAGGATGCCCAGAGGATTTTCCGTAAAATGCAGAACAATGGGATATCACCCAATGCGTTCAGTTATACCGTCTTGATTCAGGGACTTTATAAAGGTAAGAGGTTGGAGGATGCGCTTGATTTTTGTGTGGAGATGCTGGAGGCTGGTCATTCCCCGAACGTTGCAACTTTTGTGGGTTTGGTTGACGGGTTTTGTAGGGAAAAGGGTTTGGAAGAAGCGCAGAGTACAATTGGAACATTGAAGCAGAAAGGGTTCTTTTTTGATGACAAAGCTGTTAGAGACCACTTGGAAAAGAAAGGGCCATTCTTGCCGTTGGTTTGGGAGGCAATATTTGGGAAGAAAATACCGCAGAGATTTTTCTGAGTTTTCCTGTTCTGAGTCATAAATTCGTAAGCTCTTGTCCTATGCTATAATTTGCTTCTGTTGCTTTCTCTAATCCTTCCTGCAATCTTGTATTGCCAGACATGACTGAAAGAGAAGGCTCAACTTCATATTTCCTTAATTATTTATGTTTTAAGGGTGTGTATTTCATGTCCAGACGTTTCTTTGAAAAGCATCAAATAAGGTAGATTGTGTACAAAACTTGATGCAGCATGTTCTTTCATTTTGGAGACTTAGACTGGCAACTTTTATTGATACATACAATTGTGATTTTCTTATTTTGTTGTCATGAATCATGATTCATGAAGTAGTGTTCACTTTCTGAATGTAAGCATTAATCACATTGGACAAGTCTTGACTACCTGAAGGGAGTGGATGTAAAGGTTTGACGTGCACATTGTATCTTGGCGCTTTTGAGTCATGCCATTGGAATAGCTTTTTGGGTACTGAAACCAATCCTAGTTTTACCCATGGAAATTGTGGGGACTTATATCTTGATGTTACAAGAAGGCTATGAAAACCTTTTTTATTAACCTTTAAGTTTGAAATTTCTCTTCTTCTATACCAATCCTCGAACTCTAGACCTAGAGGTTGGTCTGGCCACACAAACTAACTCCTAAGCCAAAGGGAACACGAGAACCGGTATTAAGTTTGAAGTTTCTATAAATTTGTTCTTATAAGAAGGCTATGCCACTTGATAACAGTGAAAGTTTTTGGTGCCTTTTCCATGCTTTTAATATTTGTGGCTGGACTTTGTGTTTCTGGGTCTTTGGCAAAGATCAAGGGTGAAAAATTGTTAATTTGCTGGTTTGACCACTTCAAATATGCAAAAGTAAAATTTTATCTTTTTACTTGAACCACATGAGCACAACAGTCAGTCTGTTAATCTCTAAAAGCAATTCTCATTTGCACCTTCAAATATTTTTTTATAATTGATCCATCTGTCTCACCTTCTCCTTGTGGACCATAACAAGGCTGGTTATACTAATGCATCCATCACATGTATTTATGAGGTAGCATTGGAGAACTAGGATGGCCTTAGCCCATAAACAGGGAAAGAAAGCTTATATTCAGTGGTCATAAGAAGAATTTGCCATTGAAAGTAGGTTAAACAGTATTTTCTTTATGAGTTGAAGTCTATTTGATTATATTTGCTTTTTTTAATACTTTGAATTGGAGGTAAATAATTGTCCTTTTTAAAGTTCGAAGTGTATATATAGCAATAATTGTAGTCAAGAAAATCCTCCCATATGGCAGTTCTACAAAGATTAAAATTTACTCTTGTAAGCATGTATAGACACAAATCTCTTTATTGGGAAGTTCACTACTTTAGGAATTGTTGACATACATATAAAGAATATCTATTTAATTGTAAAGAGGGGAAGAAAATTAAAGCAAGAGATTTCATGGCATGGGTGGTCACTCCAAGCTCTAGTATTTTGTAAAGGAGTACTTTTTCTTGGCAAAATTATAGTGAACATCAGCTCTCTTCATACGAATGCATTAAAACAAATGAACAACTTAGCCCAAGATTCAATTAAAAGGTGTCAAATGTAACACAACTAGGTTAGATGTAAGCTTTAGAAGGACATGAACAAGAATGGAAAATGTTTGTTGATGGTACTCAATCAAAATGGACCAACATGATGTAGAAGCTGGACCAGTATATGAAACCAACACGTGATTGGTCTTCTATTTGAGACTATGTGGCTGCGGGTGGAGAACTTCCAAGGGTCTGTCCGGTCCTGGTGGGAGGAGGCCACGGCTGTAGTGTCCACCAGTTTTTTGTTAGCCCGGATTCTACGGGCCCTCAAAATCGAACTGAAGAAGTGGAATAAGGAGGTGTTTGGGAATCTTGAATGGAGGAAAAATAGAGTCCTTGTTGAAGTTTCTGAGATTGATCGCCTTGAAGAGGTGGGTGGGGTTGGGGATTCTCTACGCTCTAGGAGAGTTTCTTGCCAGGCGGATTTCGCCGAGATTGCTTGTATGGAAGAGATTTCATGGCGTCAGAAGTCTAGGGCCTTATGGCTCAAAGAGGGGGACTGTAACATGAAATTTTTCCACATGCTTGCAAATGCCCATAGAAGGAGTAATCATATTGGGCGAATCTGGGTTGATGGTCAGGAGTTGTGCAGGGAGGATGAGGTCCGTAGGGGGATTGTTTCTTTCTATCAGAGGCTCTTCACTGAGCTGTTGGGGTGGAGGCCTAAGCTTGATGGTCTTAATTTCAATGTTATTTCCAAGTCCGAGAGAGATGGTCTTGAGGCCCCATTTACCGAAGAGGAAGTGCTGAAGGCTCTGTTGAGTTGTAATGGTGACAAAGCACCTGGCCTGACGGGTTTACTATGCGCTTTCTGATGGAAAGCTGGGAGGTGGTTAGAAGGGAGGTCATGGGTACTTTTCAGGAGTTTCATTTTCACGGGGTTTTCGAGAAGTCGCTAAATGCTTCTTTTATTGTCCTCATTCCTAAGAAGGGCGGCGCTACTGATATTAAGGACTTTAGGCCAATTAGCTTGGTGGGCTGCATCTATAAGCTCATTGCTAAGGCTCTTGCTCTCAGGTTGAGGGATGTTTTGGATGGGGTTATCTCGGAGTCCGTTCTTATTGCCGGTGAAAGTGTGGATTCCAAGCTGAGGAGCGGTGTCCCGGGAGTTTTATGCAAGCTCAACATTGAAAAAGCCTATGATCACGTTAATTGGAGTTTTCTGTTGTATTTGCTTCAGAGAATGGGCTTTGGGAGTAGATGGAGGACTTGGATAGAGACATGTATTTTGTCTCTCAAGTTCTCTGTTCTTGTAAATGGGTCTCCTGATGGTTTCTTTGGAAGTTCTCGGGGGTTGAGATAAGGTGATCCTTTGTCCTCTTTTCTCTTTCTCATTGTTATGGAGGGCTTGAGCAGACTGATGAAGAGGGCAGAGGATTTGGGTTTTATCAAAGGCTTCAGAGTGGGTAGAGATTTGTCTCATCAGATGGAGATATGTCACTTGTTGTTCGCAGATGACACTCCGGTTTTTTGTGATGCTGATGCGGCCCAATTGAGATATTTGAGGTGCATTCTTGTCTATTTTCAGGCAGTTTTTGGGCTGAAAGTTAATGTTGGCAAGAGCGTGCTTGTCCCGGTTAGGGAAGTTCAGGGCATCTCCCTCCTTAGCCGCAGTTCTTAGGTGTTGGGCGAGCTCTGTCCCTATTCCTTACTTGGGTTTGCCCTTTGGGGTTTCCTCTAGAAGGTTGGGGAGTTGGGATCATGTGATTTATAGGTTTGAGAAGAGATTGGCTGGGTGGAAGAAGCAATATTTGTCGAAGAGAGGGGTGGGGGGAGGTCAAATAAAGAGCACTCTCTCAAACTTTCCCACTTATTTACTTTCTATGTTCTAGATTCCGTATTTTGTTGCTAAAATGATCGAAAACTTCAAAGGGATTTCCTGTGGGGTGGAAGGGGCGAAGAGTTCAAGTACCATCTCGTCAAGTGGGAGCAAATTTGCAAGCCCTTTTAGTTGGGTGGCTTAGGCATTAGGAGGCTGGTCCCCTTTAATAGAGCTCTCCTAGGTAAGTGGCTATGGAGATTTGGTAGGGAACGACACCGCCCGTGGAGGAGGATTGTCTCATGTCGTTATGGGGAAGAGAGAGGTGGGTGGTTTTCCTGCCTAGTCTCTAACGCAGGAGGAGTTGGCATGTGGAAATTTATTCGGAAAGGTTGGGATGTCTTCTCCTCTCATATTAGATTCAAAGTTCGAGATGGTAGATGTGTCCGGTTCCGGGAGGATCTATGGTTGCGGAGACCAGCTGTTGTCTTGCTCTATTCATAGACTTTTTAGAATTGCTGATGATAGACATGCCTTCGTAGTTGATTGCTATCGGCTTGATAGCAGTGGGATCACATGGGATGTGCGCTCTAGGCTTTCTTTTCAGGATTGGGAGATGGATGAGGTTTGCGCTCTTCTGGATATGTTGTATCAACAGGAGGTAGGTGGCATAGGTGATGATGTTCTTCTGTGGGTTCCCTTTTCCCATGGAGGATTCGATGTCCGATCCATGTTTTTGTGTCTTTCCAACTTTGCTGGTTTTGATTTCCCTTAGAAGACTATTTGGCGCTCTAAGGCTCCCCTTAGAGTGGTATTCTTTGTTTGGATTGCCGTTTGGGGTAAGATCTTGACATTGGATAATCTGAGGAAGAGAAACATTATAAATTATCAAAAAAATAAAAACAATGGAAGAGAGGCATTATCATTGTCAACCGGTGCTGCCCATGCAAAAACGATGGTGAGTCTATGGATCATCTACTCTTACATTGCCGTGTGGTGCACGATTGCTAGAATCTTATCTTCGGATTATTCGGCATTTCTTGGGTGATGCCCCGGTCCACAAGGGGCATGATTAAAGCGTGGAGGGGATGTTATGTGGGGGGTTATCGTGATTGTTGGAGGACCATTACATATTGCGTATGGTGATGCATATGGAGAGAGAGGAATAACAGATTTTCAGTTGGGTGAAGGGGGGACACTGCTCTTCTTCTGACGATGTTGTTGATTTCTTGGACTCATTGGGTCCATAGGTTCCTGTTTTGTTTTTGTACATGGGACGCGTTCCCCTTTTGAACGTTTTTTTTTAATGAATTATTACTTATCAAAAAAAAGGAAGATATTATTATTATTTTTTTTAACAGTCTTACCAGAATGACATGTCATTGAAATTGTTGTCGTTGACCCGTGTGAATGATCAAGTTACTTGGATAACTAAAATTGAGGTCTTATATATTACAAAGCAGTATCGAGAAAAGATAACTCTAATTATGTGATTACCATATCTGGTTGTCAACTTCAATTTCTTCTGGTGATAACATGAGAAAACTTATGGCCAATCTGTTGGGTTGTGGCATTGGGACTTTTCCGATGTCTTACTTGGGATTGCCTTTTGGGATCTTCTTAAGTCGGTGTCTTACATTTGGTCTCCAGTGATTGAAAGATTTGAAAGTGGGCTAGTTAACTGGGTGGAAAAAGCGATATATTGAAGGGTGGCCACCATACTTTGATCAAAAGCAGTGAGCACACTCTCGAATCATCCCATGGCTTCCAATGGGACTTGATTGCATATTTTTCTTTAATTGAATATGTTTCATGTTATACGCAGTTGCAGACATCTTATCTATGTGGGTCTGGTGACCTCGTTGCCATCTGGACAAGCACTTGTGAATTTGTGATCTTGTATGGGGTCTCAGGCTTCTGATTAGGTATGTATTATCTTTTTTGAGAAGTTGAATAGGTATTTATTATCATAAGGTCCTCTGTCCCTGGATAATCCTGACTGCCAGCATATATATGGCAATGGTTTCTTCTCCTTGGGTAAGCCTTGCCGTGAGACCCTTTTTCTTAGAGGCATCCTTGAAAATCGTTACGAGGTCTTCTTTTCATATAAGCTTTGTTACAAGGACCTTCTACTTAAATAAGCACCACATATGAACAAAAATTATCCTGATTCACCTCGTGCTAATTAAGTTGGGAGTAGGTACTAGTTCTTATGTAGCTCGACATGCAGCTGTCATCTTGCCCCAATTGGGACATGCAGATATGTCATAGCCTTCTCATGGTTATTTTCAATATCCCATCTAGAGGTACGTGGACATGTCATAGTCCACTTGGACTCTAGGAGGTACCTGATTTGGTGGAAGAAAGTTCAAAGCTTGTGGAGTTGACCTCTCCTTGAGGTTTGAACACACCTTGACCTAGCTCAAAGAAAGATTGCCACCACTTAACTCTCGTAGATGGCATATATCATGTAACGTGACAGCACCATATTTGACCATTATCTTATGCAGTTGCCGCTTAAGGGACCGTTCACATCGACACATTGAGGCACCCTACTAAATAATGGTGAAGCTTGTCACCCCTGCCATCCTTGCACCCCATAGACCACCCCTATTTTGAAATTTTGTACTGTTTTGCATTCTAATTAGACAATTTTGGTGCACATGGAAGGATCTTATTTAATTGTGGTAAAGATATGCACCATGACCTAATGAGACTTGCTGTATCAGTATCATCACTACCTTCTTGTAATTTGCACCAAGTCAAAACTGTTATTTTTAACTTTTCCATTTCTTGGATCCCATCCATGGTAGGCAGTTGCATGACTTGTGTTGGTGATGAATTTTTGTTTAACCAATTTCCACCTAAGTCTCAGGGTCTCTGCCTTATTAAATAATTGGGCACTCTTCAAGCATCCGTTTTTTAGTCAGTTACATTGAGATATTTTAGACTTCTTCAGAATAGAGGAAAAAAAGAAAAAGAAGTTATAGGGGAGAGAGTCAAGGAAGACTTAGCACAATGCTATAGTGCAAGGAATACTGTGAAACCACTAGCTGCTATCAAGCTAAAGAAAGCCAAGGAGTCTTGAGGACTAGAAGGTCCTTGATGAACATCATACACACATTCCATTTCTTTTTTTTTTGCCTTACCGAACTGTGGAGGAGGAATAGAAAGCTGGGATGAATATCCTATTTCGTTTCATTATTTTGTGCCAAAGGCAACCTTGTGGCCGACTGATGGAGATCAAGAGGGATTTCACACCTATGTCAGGCGTAGACATGGTATTTTGTTAGGATTATATTTTGTGTTTACTAGTATTTTCAGTGTTTATTCAATATTTTATTTTATCAGGTATCTTCATGTGCAAAGAATACCTTTAAGTGTGCAGTTAGGAAAACTGACATAGTCCACATTAAGGGTGGCACGTTTTGATCTAACTGACATAGGTTTCCTCTTGAAAATGAAGCCAGTGTAGCCTGCAAGAATGCACTGGAAAAGTAAACCTTAACCATGTTTGATGGTCTTATTTCAAGCTAATAGCATGGACGTGGTCAGCAGGAAGAATAGAATGCGGACTGACTGCAAAAAGAAAGACAACATCGATGCATTCAAATTGTTCCGAATCTTGAAACTATTTGAGTTCATCTCTTTCCTTGCAGTTATGTTGACTTGTTTCTAGCTTTTGGAGAGATTCTCCACACCTCTTGTAGCTCCAATTTTTTTCATCTTAGTATTCTGTCAGTGCACCACATTAGTAAAAAGATTCACTTGGTGCTCTAAATTCAGTTTTAAACGGCATAAAAGTAACTATCGAATATTCCTTTGCTTTGCCTTCATATGACAAATTTAATGTTTAACCGGTGCCGTAAGGGTTAGAAGTATATGAATGGAAGTATACATTCTAACTGACACAGTTTACTTGATCCTAGGTACGCACTCAGATCAGAAGGGACAATAGTAATTGCAGACTTGTTATGGCATAGGCTGGTAGATATGAAATTTGGATGAGCACAGGCAGTAGATAGCACAGAAGTGGTGATAATGCCACCAGTTTGCGCGGTTCTGACTCTGGGAATCTCTGACAAAGTTCTCATAAACAGCAATTGTAGATTGTCATGGATGTACCTTTTTTTTTTTTTTTTTGATAAGTATCATGGATGTACCTTTTATCAAGCGTAAACATCTTCAGTGCCATTTCTCTTGTCATCATTCTGTAAGTGTTGATGCCATGTCTTGAGGTGTATGCTTAGATTATGTACTATATTTTGAATTTCTACTTGTACTTGACATGGTTTGCATTATGCTGAATTTTCTTTGTGAAAATTTCAAAATGTTTGAGTTCCATTGTTCCTTTTTGTTCTACAAATATACTGTCCTCATTTTAAATATTATTACTTTCTTCCTTATTTTGGTTTTAGGATTTGGGCTCTGGAAAAGTTTTGGTTGCAGTTTTGCTTCATTACATGCAAGAAGACAATTTTTGTGGCCAAAGCTATAATGGTAACCTTAAGTTTGTGATCTTCAGGTGATCTGCTCTGGCATTAAATTTCATTAACATAAGCATTTTTACGTTATAAGCTATTGTCACACGGAGCTACAACTGAGAATTTACGTTATATCTTATATAGCTGTTATTTCTTTTTTATATGGTTGTGATATTTCGCACTGAACCTTCATTTCTGAAAGATTATGGCTGACTTACTATATATATATATATATTAGCTGGCCTTTTATATGATTTTAGTATTCTTGTTTAAATACCCTTGCATTTGTAGATTCAAAGATGGTTGGTTGCATGCAAGCTTAAATTGTTTTGTTGTGTGTGTCTGGGTTACCGAGGAGTAAAGGGGGAGAGAAGTGGTTTACCACTTTGTTGATGTGGGGAAATGCGGAAGGAAAAAGTTAGGGTGGAGCAATGAGAAAGACAGTAGGTAGTTTGCCACTTGATACCTAGTTGAAGCAAGCAAACAGGAAAGAGAAGTCTCCTGTTATAGATAATTTTAGTTACGGCTAGAAATGAGATCTCTTGTTTCTAAAATTGGCTTCTATCTTGATTAAATACGAATTTCAGACAGCAACTAGATGGTCCTATGTGTGTGTGTTTGCATGTATTATTCCTTTATTCTTGCTTAAGCAGATTAGGATCCAAGGTACCTGCATTCTTTTTCTTTGTGGGCCTTGAGTGTCTGGTATCCACAGTTACAAACGAGTCACCAAAATATATTTTAGATTGCGTTGAAATTCATTTTTTAAAATCACCAGCCGTATCGTGGAAGTGTCCAAAATGTATTCATGCTGTCCGATCAGAAAATAAAATTTGTACTATTCGGGATACTTGTAACCGTATCCGGAAACCCTAATAGAAGTATCGGTGCTTCCTAGGGCTTGGCTATTGAGAGTTGAGTTGACGGTTTTAGGTATATGAGGTACTCTTAGAGGGTGTGCCTCGTACCGGAGGTTACAAGGTAGTAAGCGCCCTTTTCTCATAGGTGGAGGTTACCAGGTAATATTGTTCCTTTGGATAATCGTTGTAGGGTTACGAGGAAATTATTGTTTTGCTTACTTGGAGTTGTGTGATCATTGGCTTTTATATTATTACTGCCTGCATAACATGATGCAAACAACTATTACTATAACACCGCCGCTTATGTTTTGTTACTTCCTGCATCACATTTAAGTTGGTCTGCTATGTCTTCATTAATATTAGGCTCTGGCGTCTTCTTTGTCCTCCATTTATGATACTAGGTGCAACAAACCATTTTGAGCTTTCTCATTTTTGTAACCAAACTATCAATTTCGCGAATACCATCATTTTTATTTATTTATTTATTCTTTTGGTGAAAACCCTTAAATTCTCCATTATTTATTTTCCGTTAGAAAATGGATCCTTTTTAGCGGAATAAATTGCTCTTGGACAAAAATATGTAGAGGGGCATTTTTGGTACTATGGGTCCAATCCTTTTAACAGACATCTTGAAATTTTAAAGAGATTGTGTAATTTTAATACTTCTGAGTAGTTTTAAGACCTTGCCAACCTACTAAGGTCAAATAAGAAGTTTCAGGAAAAGTTTTCTAAGGCGATGAAGAACTGAGTTGTTTCCATTTCCGATGAGAATCCTCTTCAGTATTTGAAAATCCTTTCCAGTGAGATAAATCCATAAGATAGGTGAAGTTCATCACCAACAATGATAACTTGCGTTATTCTATTATTATGTTCTCCAGTATTCGAAAATTCTCTTCAGTGAGAGAAACCTATCCAACATGTGATGTTCATCACCAACAATGATAACTCGCATTGTTATATTATTGTAAAATTAAACTAAAAACAAATAGTAACAAACAAATTTCAAACAAGTGAAAATCCACACTATTGCATAAGGTAAGTTTCGATTGATATTGATGATGAACTCGGAACTCCCTTGGGCATGACCCTTTGGACCTACCCTAAGTTACAAACTAAGAGTTTTGCAACCGATTCCACGACGACAGTACCATTAAATCAAGAGTCATAATGGGGGTGTTGGAATTCGAAAGTCATAATAGGGTTGTTGGAGTTCGAAACCGGGACATATTAAAACCCAGCCCCTTACCTTACCACCATCACCAAACCCTTGAGGGCATTTTTTGGGGATTTGACAATGAACCTTAACGGCTGCAGTTGTTCATCCGGTGCTCGCCCTTGCATCTTTAAAACCCTAACTTGGAAAGACAACACGTGGGCTTGGTCCTGCTCCTACTAATAATCTCCCAACTTTGTTTTCTGTGACGTTAATGAACCGCACAAACTAGCCTGTCATTGTTGTCCAAATAAATTTCTATTCCAGCCTCCTTAAAAAAATATGACTCAATTTATAAAAAATGTGAATGGTAAATTCTTTGCAAAAGGATTCACTGATCATCCGAGAGTTTCTTTGAGTAAAAAATTTCTTACTCCTTTTTAACTGCGCCCTCGCAAGGAAGGTTCGAGCCTATCATTTGTTTGGTATTATTAGGAAGAACCAAAAGAAATAAACATTTGTTGTGTATGAATATGAATAATTATGAATGCTTACTAGTTCTCTAAAGGATTGCACAAGGTTTGTTTTTAAAATACACACTAATAAGAAGATTACATCAGTTAGCTGCAACAATATGGTAAAAGAAGAAAACACTCTTACATTCCCTCCCTACACCCCTCACAGACCCAAAAAAAAACAAAGAAGATTAAACTATAAATCCCATTGGTCGGTTATTCCTCTCTGTACAGTCTGAAATTCCTATTTTCTGACCAGAGATAGCCCCATCTTCCAGGAAGTAACAAGGCCAAAATCCAGTCCATCCACATACTTGCTTTATCTCATTTACACAAATATGCCTGCACAAATTGTAAAATAATGCAAATAAGGACCATCTGTGACCTTGCCATTAGTGGACCAATATAATTTCAATCAAGAAAAAAAAAAAAAAAAAAAGATGCAATGAAATGACTAAAATGGACATTTCAATCCTTTTCTTCCTCACTCCCATATACATTTCTTGAATTCTTGCGTGTACCCGGGCACACATATATCAAATTCAAACCGCAGTTTGAATTTGTTGCCTCACTCATTCAATCACTGTGGGCTCTTCCAATGGCGGCGGCACCTGTAGTAGGCATAGAGTACCTCAACTAAATCGAGATGGCTCATCATGACATTCGCACTGTCATCCCCAAGAAAAAACTGCACTCCCTTCATCCTTCATTTGGCGTAATTGCCTCTCTTCTTGAATTTAGTTCACTGTGTCATTGATTTTCGTCTCATTTGCTCTCTTTGTTACTTTCTTCTTGGGGTCAAGCGCAAAAAAATCCCTCAAGTATGCTTACAGTGCATATCACACCCCTCATGTGCAAAAAAACACTCTTAAAGTTTCAATTTGGTGCAAATAAGTCCCTATGACAAATTTAAACCCTAAGTTGACTAAATTACCCTTACTGAACCATTTTATAAAATATATAAAAATAAATAATTTTGTAAAATGACTGAAAATAACACTATTGGAGGACGCCCCTCACGTGCAAAAAACACCCCTAAATTTCAATTTGGTGCAAATAGGTCCTTTTGACAAGTTTAAACCCTAAATTAACTAAATTACCCTTATTGAACCATTTTATAAAATATATAAAAATAACTAATTTTGTAAAATGACAAAAAAGGACACTGTTGGAAGATGCCGACAATGGACAAGTAAAGATAAAAATAGAAAATAAAAGTACAAAATAAAAGTAAAGATAAAAATAGAAAATAAAGTGCAAATTAAAAAAACAAATCTGGTCGAAACTCTGAAAACCAGTGTACACTGATATTGGGATTTTTTTCCTTTAACAATGTTGGTACAAAATAATAATAATAAATATACTTATCAAAATAATAATAATAATAATAATAAATAAAGAAAAAAAAAATTAGGAGAAAACAGTAAACTGAAATCTCAAAAAATTCAAATCCTTGTTCAACAAATTCTCAAAGTTTCAAAAAAAAAAAGGTTTAGAGATATATATAGAGAAAAAAGTTTCAAAAAAAAATATATATATATAAGGTAATGTGCACATAACACCCCTATATTATGTGATTAGTAGCATATATACCCCCTTGGACATTTTTATAAAATATATAAAAATAACTAATTTTGTAAAATGACAAAAAAGGACACTGTTGGAGGACGCTGACAATGGACAAGTAAAGATAAAATTAGAAAATAAAAGTACAAAATAAAAGTAAAGATAAAAATAGAAAATAAAGTGCAAATTAAAGAAAACAAATCTGGTCGAAACTCTGAAAACCAGTGTACACTGATATTGGGATTTTTTTTCCTTTAACAGTGTTGGTACAAAATAATAATAATAAATATACTTATCAAAATAATAATAATAATAATAAATAAAGAAAAAAAAATTAGTAGAAAATAGTAAACTGAAATCTCAAAAAATTCAAATCATTGTTCAACAAATTCTCAAAGTTTCAAAAAAAAAAAAAGGTTTAGAGATATATATAGAGAAAAAAGTTTCAAAAAAAATTATATATATAAGGTAATGTGCACATAACACCCCTATATTATGAGATTAGTAACATATATACCCCCTTGGACATTTTTGAAAGAGTAAAAGGTCAAAACGGGCATTACAACACTAATTTATGTCAGATTTCTGATTGAGGGGTATTTTTGCATAATGTGAAAAGATTAAGGGTGTTTTTTGTATACTTTTTCAAATAGGGGGTAAAAGTGCTATGCAGAGTATTTAGGGGTGTTTTCTGCACTTGTCCTTTATTCTTGTGATCGTAACTGATTTCTTGACATTTATCGACACGGTTCCATTATTAATTAATTCTCTCTATATATACCCAACCATTTTTCTTTATTTGTTGTACATAGGTTCTCAAATTTCAGGTTATTTTGTTTAGTGTATTGAATGTATTTATGCTTTAACAGAGGCTACATTATGTTACTATTTGTCGCAAGTAGCATGATGCAGGAACTTATGACGCTAAACGAAGACATGGGAACTAATGGCTAGATTAGGAATGAGGAAGAGTACAATCAAAGCTCAAATATGTGAAATAGTTAGTTTAAGTGCTGGCAAATTTCAGTGTCTAAATTCGGTTGATCAAGTTGTACTTTTATTTTTAAATAGAGTCTTGATCATTTGAGCTGAACAACAAATGCCTTGATACCATTGAATCGGATGTTGAAATTACTGAGAACAGGTATATGCGTGAGAACACTAGTTACACCGAGCTGGGTTGAAAATTTTCTGAAAACCAAGTTTCAAAAGTCAAAAAATTAAAATTTCCAGATTTCCAACCGATGGGATTGCTCTAGATAGTTCAGGGTTTTGAACTACCGAGACCTTCCCAAATGGTTGGTTTGGTCTGGGCAGTTAGGTTTATGAACTACTGGAAGTGTCCCAACGGTTGGTAATAATGTCCTGATCACACCGTAACTCCACCTTTTATTTATTAGATTTTCAACTCATTTTTCAACCAAAACTCTTGAAACGTCCAATACGATTTTAACATCACTTTTCCAACATTCATTTGGACTCTCTTGGCTATAAAAACTCCACTTTTGTCCAGCACTTTAATACAAAGAATAACATAGATTTGCACACCATTGGTGGAGTTTACAGAGAGTTTTGTGAGAAGAAAAACCAGCTTGATTTTTTAAAAATATATTTGTATATTTTTTAGAGCACTCACATGCTCGTGAGAGTCCAAAGTTGATGCTCTTCATCTAATTGATGGAATTTAGACTCAACTACCATTTTCTTACTTCGATCAGAGCAGCATGTTATTCCTTACATCTTTGCATCTATGAGTGGAAGAAAGGGGAATCAATCCTATGAAGGGAACAAGTTATTCGTGGAGCAATTTTGTTCTACCAGAAACCCGTCGGCAAGGTCTGAGTAGTAAGACAAAAATATGCGACAGCCAGACATACTGTAGGAGTAAGACTAAGGTGTTCGATAACTAGATCTTGATAGAGAGAAATGGGTGTGAGACTGAATTAGAGTTTTGTAACTTTGTTTCGAGAAAGTGGATTGATTTACTCGAGACTGGTGTGTTCATTTTTGGGAAATATATGCTTCATGTGACATTTAAAATATAATAAACCTTATACTAATATGCTATAAGATAATAAAAAATATGCTAATAAATCATTAATTAAATATCCAACTAAAATATTTAATTGTTAAGCATGAAAATAAAGCAATAATGATAAAAATAGAATAAAGAACCTGGACCGAGGATAGTATTGGATACTATGTCCTTAAGACAATTTACGTCCTGCATGGTGACGGACTCTACGGTGATCGTCTCCTAAGATACAATGGTTTCCATCCACCAGTAGCAGCACTCCAAACTCATGGATACAACGAACCTCCTCTATATAATACACTCTCTGACTAAAAAATGTATCTATATATATTATAGAAAATACGAATTGGATTCGATTTGAACCATTTGGCTCAGACCAATTGCAGTATGGCTCATTGCTATACATGTTGGGTCTAGTGATACGAACCACTTGACCATTGGATTTGAACCAACTTGGGTTTAAGAGAGGAGGAGAGAAGTATGAGAATTATTCACGTAAAGTTAAGTGAATTCAGAATATGAAATGCAGCTTTGGGTTAGGTATTTATAAACTTCGTCACCAAACACAACCACTTCCAATAGGTTGCAACAGTTGGTTTGAATAAAGATGATTTATCCTCATACCTATTCAGATATAGGTGATATGGAATGAGTAAAAATATAAAAGGGAGGAGGAGAGAATTGTGTAAAGGCTTGAATGAGGTGAATCACCCATTCACACCTTTAGTATTGATAGATAAAAAGAGCACATGCTCATATTACAAGAAATCAAATCTAAATCAAATCACAACATATTCTAAAGCATATTTTATGTCATATTCTATAGTATAATCAAATCTCTGCTAATATGAAAAGTCATTCCATAAATCGTGGCTATCATATATGCTAACACTCCCCCTCAAGTTGGTGCGTGGATATCTTAAACACCCAACTTAGACAATGCATTATCAAATACAATCTTACTGACATCCTTTGTAAGAATGTCTGTAAGCTGCTGAGAGCTTGTGACAAATGGAGTGCAAATTTGACCAGAGATGATCTTCACTCGAATGAAGTGACACTGGAATACTTGTTGCTATACTAATGGCAGACTTGTTGTCGCAGTAGAGTGAGAATGGAAGTGACACTGGAAGGCACAAGTCTGTCATTAAGGTTTTTAGTCATAGTAACTCATATACCCCAAGAGCCATAGTCCTATGCCATGCCTTTGCACTAGATCAAGAGACAACATCCTGCTTCTTACTGCGCCAAGTAACCAAGTTACCGCCAATAATGGTACAATAGCCCGAAGTTGACCTCCTATCTGAAACTGATCCTGCATAATCAGCATCTGTCCAAGCCTCAACACGTAAGTGACCATGATTGGTAAACAAAATACCACGGCCCGGACACCCTTTTAAGTAGAGAAGGATTCGAATAGCTACATCAAGGTGAGAGGTACGAGGAGAGTGCATGAATTAACTTACGACACTCACGTCATAAGCAATGTCAGGTTGAGTCATGGATAATTTTTTTTTTTGTTGATAAATGGATAAATAGATGAGCTTCCTCACTATTCGTTAATATTAACCAACATCTGACAACTACTCCCCCTCAGAATCAGCTAACCAATGATTTTGCTCAATCGGAGTATCAGCAGGACGAGCGCTAAGCTGACCAAAAGCAGAAAACAAGTTACGAACATATTTGTGTTGAAAGATGAAAATGTCAGCCTTAGAGCGAGCCACCTCAATGCCCAAGAAGTACCGTAGGGGACCAAGATCCTTAATCTTAAACTGACGGCAAAAATAGCTCTTAACCTCAACAATTCCAGTAGTATCAGCTCCGGTAAGAACAATATCATCTACATACACAATGAGACCAACTGTCTTGCTGCCTGAATGACGTAAAAACAAGGTATGATCAGCTGCACTTTGATGGAAACCAAATTTGTGCATGGCAGCGCCAAAGCGATAAAACCAAGCTCGATGAGACTGCTTAAGGCCATACAGAGAACGACGAAGATGACATACCATACCAGAATGAGCAGGAGAACGAAAGCTCGGAGGAGGAACCATGTACACCTCTTCCTGCAAATCACCATTGAGAAAAGCATTCTTGACATCTAACTGAAATAGAGGCCAAGGTCGAATCGCAGCAATGGAAAATAATACACGGATAGTATTTATCTTGGCAACAGGGACAAAAGTCTCCTGATAATCTATGCCTTAAGTTTGAGCATAATCCTTGGCAACCAATCGGGCCTTGTAACGAGCAACTGACCCATCTAGATTATGCTTAACTGTAAACACCCAATGACAACCCACAGCCTTTCATCCAACAGGAAGTGGAACCATTTCCCAAGTCTGATTTTTCTCAAGTGCGTGTAGTTCTTCTGTCATAGCATCACGCCATTGAGGTTGTGCTAGTGAATCTGCACCACTAGAAGGAAGAGGAACTGAAGCAACAAAAACAAGAAAACTCCGATAGGAGGGTGAGATGGATGCGCTTGAGAAGAACAAGACATGGGACTTGGTGGAACCGCCTCAAGGAAAGAAGCTAGTGGGATGTAAATGGGTCTTCACTGTGAAGTACAAGGCAGATGGATCACTTGAACAGTATAAGGCAAGGTTAGTAGCTAAGGGGTATACTCAAACCTATGGGATAGATTATCTTGAAACATTTGCTTCTGTTGCAAAAATGAATATTGTAAGAATCCTATTATCTTTAGCAGCTAATCGTGGCTGGAGTTTGTAGCAGTTTGATGTAAAAAATGCCTTTTTACATAGTGATCTTGATGAATAAATCTATATGGAGGTTCCTCCAGGGTTTGAGTCAAAGAAGAATAATGTGTGTAAGTTGAAAAAGACACTTTATGGCTTAAAACAGTACGCCAAGGCTTGGTTTGGCAAATTTACTAGCGTAATGAAAGCTTTGGGTTATAAAGAAAGTCAGGGTGATCACACATTGTTTGTCAAACATTCTGCTTCAGGGGGAGTTACAACTCTATTAGTCTATGTGGATGATATAGTGGTAACAGGGGATGACTTGCAAGGGATGGAGGCATTGAAAAGGTGTTTATTGCAAGAGTTTGAGATTAAAGAACTCGGCAGGTTAAAATACTTCCTCGGCATTAAAGTGGCTCACTCTCGACATGGGATCTTTATATCCCAACAGAAGTATGTGCTGGATTTATTAACTGAGATGGGGAAACTAGGGTGTAAACTAGTGGAGACACCCATTGAACGGAATCACAAGCTTTGTGAAGCTCCAGAAGATGCGGTGGTGGATAGAGAATCCTATTAGAGATTAGTTGGCAAACTAATCTATTGTAGGAGTGGTGAGTCAATTTATGCACAATCCAAAAGAACTACATCTTCAAGCAACACATCGAATTCTACAGTACCTGAAAGGTACTCCAGGAAATAGAGTGTTGTTTAGAAGAAGAAATGAATTCACATTGGAAACATACACGGATGCAGATTTTGCCGGATAAATTGATGACAGAAGATTGACTTCAGGCTATTGTACATTCCTCGGAGGCAACCTTGTATCTTGGAGAAGCAAGAAGCAAAATGTAGTTGTAAGGTAGGTCAAGTGCGGAAGCTGAGTTCAGAGCTATGGCATTAGGAGTTTATGAGATTCTATGTTTGAAAATAATTTTGGAAGATTTGAAGATTGCCTGGGAAGGACCTATGAAGCTATGTTGTGATAACAAATCAGCAATTAATATTGCACATAACCCTGTGCAACATAACCGCACCAAGCATGTGGAAGTAGACAAACATTTTATAAAGGAGAATTTGGATAGCGGATTAATTTGTACACCATTTGTGTCAACCGAGGGTTGACTTGCAGATGTATTAACTAAATGATTGAGTGGTTCTGCATTTCAGTCTATTGTTAGCAAGCTGGGAATGGAAAATATCCACTCACCAGCTTGAGGGGGAGTGTTAGAATTAGTAATTATGGTATGAATAGATTGTGCAGATTTTATAGCTCACTAGATGGGGAGAAAACATGTATTACAACTATATATATGTCATGTAATTAGAAAGTATATTCTGCTACCTAATATCCCTGATTTATAGTGATTGTATTCTAGGAGTTAATATTCCAGATTTGTAGGCTGTTGTTTGCCTATATATTTTTTCCCCGTACATTGCTAAATAAATAATAATATTCCCATTATTTCACAATATATGAAACAAGGAAAGGGATTTTATATATATATATATATATATATATGTTACGAAGCATAAAACGGAAGCAAAGAGATAAATGAAACAAGTATAACACACGAATATTACGTTGTTCAACCACTAGGGCCTACATTCACGGCACAAAGAGCCCAAAGGGTTACGTCACTTTTATAATACTCTCTTAATTCATACACAATACAATGGTGGAGGGTCCTTTATATAGGAAAAGAAATTGTGAGAATGGAAATAATTAGAAAATAGGAAGAAATTGTGAGAATGGAAATAATTAGAAAATAGGAAACATTTAAGATTTTTTTCCACTGATTCCTCTAGTAACACCAAATCTTCAATAATAGGAAACAACATCAATTACTGAAAGATTTTCCTCCACTGATTCCTCCATTAAATTTTCAATATTTCCCCTCAAGTTGGAGCATGAATGCCTAACTTGCCATTGAGATGACGAGTAACAAGAAGTGTGAATGATGAAGAGAGAAGACGAAGAACAATGCTACCGAACACACCGACAGCCCAAACAAGTCAACAAAAAACTACTGGAGACACGGCAAAGGCGAGACCAATGCTACCGAACATACCGACATCCCAAACAAGTTCATAAAAAATGCCAGAGACATGGTAAAGACAAAGACAATGCTACCGAACACACCAGCAACCTAAACAAGTTAATAAAAACTGCCGGAGACACGGCAAAGGCAAAGAACATTACTGCCGAACAAACTGGCAGCGCATACAAGACAAATAGCACCGAAAAACCCTTAGCAACATTTCAGATGCTAAGGGAATACCCCAAAATAGGGGTCCGAAACTAGGAAGAGAAATTAGGCTCTGATACCATGTTGTAAAGCATAAAACGGAATCGAAGAGATAAATGAAACAAGTAGAACCCACAGATATTACGTGGTTCAACCACTAGGGCCTACATCTACGGCACAAAGAGCCCAAAAGGTTACCAACAATCACGACCCAATGCATCAAAAGGCTGGTCGAGTTTCCCATCACAGAATATGTTAAAGGGTGGAAGTTTCCATTAGAGGCCACGTTAAATCACATGAATTCTGTATGGTACAATATATAGGACTCTGCATACAACAACATACAACCTTTCATGTTGCTGGTCTAATGTGATATACATATACAACCAAAGCCGTATTCACGTTGCAGTTCTAACATGATGGACACGCTGCATACAAGTTTCATTTGATATTGTTTATTTGTGATTGGTGTAGATTTAATTGATAATCAACGTGGATAATTAATCAGTCAATAATTTTTTTTTTTTTGCAAGAAGCCGTATTCACTCCTCTTTAGATCTTAGAAACAACTAATTTCACCAAATTAACTATATCACTCTTGCACAGCAACTCAAAAAATAATGGTTTGTGATGAGCTTTTACCCCCAAATTGTAGAGAGAGAGAGAGAGAGAGCTTTCAGGGCATTTTTCCCACACAAAAGGGCACTTTCGGTTTCTAGTACCTTTATGTCAGAAATGACAGTTAACAGCTAGTTACAAACGGTCTGAAGGAGGGTCGGTGTTCATGTGCACCTTTGCATGAAATTATAGGGGCTTATATGCACATACTTAACAGTAAGGGTGTTTCGTGCATGTTTGTTAAATAGCGGGATACTTTTTGAAGTTATCCCTATTCTCATGACCATATCAACAATATAAAAGTTAGAGAGAAGCTTATAGAGTAACAGCCGAATAATAATTTTAAATGCAGCAGCTACACGTAATATAGAGAGAAATTGACAAAAGGCGAATTCGAACCTCTAGAAAAATTCCATAGAATGAACAAGTACTCCCTCATCTTCCCAATGTACATCTGCAGCATTTGGATCTTTTCCAATCAACTTAAGAGGTGCATCCAGTGGTGGTGGGCTCTGCATCAAATGACAGATATTCAAAATATTTAATTGCATGTATTAGTTTCTCTGATGCATTCTTTGAGGAGACCATTACATCTAAATCTGACCAAAGTCAATATAAGGAATCCTGTGTCAGCCTATACAGAGATGGAAGAGCCACTACCATGCAGCGGATGAGAGGCCAATTAATTCCACGGAAAAAAGAGTGTTGTTTGATTTCATTTGCACCAGTAATTGACCCTAAACGACTGGCAGGGTCTCTATTCAACAAGGCATGAATCAACTGCCGGGCAGCGAGACTTACCTGCAATTACAGATTTGTTGCCACATGTTTAACTTAAAGTTGGAGTATAGATACTATTAAATATTGCAACCATATTAAAACAAACCACAATTAGGTAATGTTAATTCGTTATCACTTTCAGAATACATTGATATTACTAATCGTGACTGCAGACATATTTAATTGATAAAGCATGCCTCAAATGTAACGTCATCATGAAATTTTAACTCATGACAAATGTTTCTGTTAAAGTTGGATGCAGAAATAAGAAATGCAAATAGAAAAAGGGAAGAGAGAAAATACAGGCATATATATGGTTCGGCACTAAGGCCTACATCCATAAACAAAGAGCCACTAATGGCTACATTTTTATTATTCAAACCTGTATATTGCTTGAGTAGAAGGAGCCTATATATAGGCATGGTAAAGATTAGATGGAAGGTGTACAATAGTCAAAGGAGGCACCATGATTGGTGGAAATTGACCAGATCACCATGATTGGTGGAGGATTTTGCTCCACAATTATATAGAAATATTTATATATTTCCTCAAGTTGGAGCATGAATATCATGAAAGCCCAACTTGCTAAAGAAACGCTTTGAAAGATGTTGAAAAGGTATCCGGAACAAAGCCGGAGCAACACCGGGAAAGGCCGAAACTAAGTCGGGAAATGGTCGGAACAACGCTGGGAAAAGCCGGAACAATGCCGGGAAATGGCCGGAAAGACGTCGAGAAAAAGCCGGAACAATGCCGGGAAAGGGCCAGAACAACGCCGGGAAAGGGCCAGAACTATGCCGGGAAAGGAATGTGAAGACATAGAGAATATGCTCCATGATAATAATTCCAACACTCCCCCTCAAATTCTAGATGGGATTACAAGAACAACTAGGCTCTTATACCATGTTAAAATTGGATGTGGAAATAAGAAATGCAAATAGGAAAAGGGAGGAGAGAAAACACAGGCATATACATGGTTCAGCACTAAGGCCTACATCCATGGACAGAGAGTCACTATTGGCTACATTTTTATTATTCAAATCTGTATATTGATTGAGTAGAAGAACCCTATATATAGGCATGGTAAGGATAAGAATATATGGAAGGTGTACAATAGTCAAAGAGGCACCATGATTGGCGGAGGATTTTGCTCCACCGTTATATAGAAATATTTATAATTGGAAGGAAATTGACCGGATCACCATGATTGGTGGAGGATTTTGCTCCACAATTATATAGAAATATTTATATATTTCAACAGTTTCCAGTCCTTACCCACCAAATTCTAATACCATGATCATCTATTTTCTGAATCAATATATATCTATAAACGTTTCAAATTTGTTCAATGAAAAGGTGTTTATGCTCTATATGCAACAGAATTTTAGGCCGCAAAGACCACTTGATTATAATTTGCCAATTGAACCACACGACATTAAATACTACCATGAGATTGCCAAGTTAAACTGCCTAAACAAATCAATTCAATCAGCACTCCAGTTAATGAAAACCGACCCAAAAAATCAGATAAACTAAAATGTAATAATTTAAATGAGGTAAAAGGAAATCTTAACATTTATATATGATTTTACCGGAATACTACTTGGAAAAGTTAGGTCCTTGTGCAAGATGTTGGCAAATGTCTTCTGTCTGTTCTTTCCTCTGAAAGGTGTACGACCATAAAGCATCTCATACAGAAAAATACCTGAATTTCAAAATAGACGATTATGAAGACAGGGAAAATGTAACTTGCTAAATCAGAAGCAATTTGAGGAGAATTTTTTAATCTTCAAAACAGAGAAATACACTAGCAGACAGAGATATATGCCCATGACAGGTTGGCTAAATAACATGCAAACCATATATAACAATCACTTCTTTACTCTAACTTGGAAGCTATACACCTGCATACATATTAATGAACCTGAAATATCATCAAAATTTGCAATCCATTATGACTGTCAATTATAGGACCAACAATTTTTAGACAGCTATTTATGAATCACTCTGGCACTACAACAATTGCATAACCACAATTATAATAGCTGTAAGCTTGTAACACATTTTTTATTATCATATTCATAAATTTAATTACATTTACCATGAGATTTATGACTAAGATAAACTAATTCACCAAACGGATGGATACTAAAATTCACTGACTAGAAACACATTTATCAATAGTAGTAAAGACAAACTGTCATTGGATTATAGCTTTAGAAGCTTTTAGTATAAACACGGATGATGATGCAATAAACCAAATGAAAACAACATTTGGATATATCATTCAGAAAACAACTGCCTAGCCACATAATGAACCCTACACGCCCCCCCCACCTCTCCGAAAAAAGAAAAAAAGCATAAGTATGTACTTACCAAGAGCCCACCAATCAATAGCACTACTGTGGCCAGCACCTGTAATAATTTCCTGAAATGAAGTCATCCATAAGTATTTGGAAAGTAAATAGAAACAAATATAATTACTATAATACTTTACACGCTTTAGAAAGATTGCTCGTTAGCTAGGCCATTTTCAATAAGGTTCACGCTAGGCGCTCACATGTTTTGGCTGAGCCATATCTCTGATTTTCCAAATGTCTATTTTGTAGTTCGACCACAAAGTTAACAAGCGAGTATTTCTGAACACATCTAAGGACACATAAGTGGTATGAAAATCTAGGCCTTTGTTTGATTGATTGAATAAACGCAACAAAGCTAGCATGTTCTGAAGCACATTCACCTCTTACCAACCATAAAAAATTGCTAAAATTTAATGATGCAGACCATCAAAGCTGCAGATTTTTATCATGAATAGTTCTAGAAATGGTCTATTACTACAACTTTTGCAACAAAGATGATCTACAATTCTACTTTTGGGGTTTTTTTTTTTTTAATGGTAAACTTCTGTTCTTGTCATGGCTATATGATGGGATGCTGTCTCTTTTCAAGGAATTAGTAGCCTAAGGTGTTGTTTGATAACCATATTAAGTACTTAGAACTAATGTAAATTAAGTGCATTTGATAATGCCATCTGTATACAACTTTAAAAAATGCCGCTTAAAAAAAATCCAAATTTTTAAATGATAGGGTATCTCACTTATCACTGGACACAGAATATGCTGAGTGGAAAGTTATTTAATTTTTTATTAAGCGTACAAAAATAACCTTAAAACAAATCCAACTCTATCATTATCCCTGTCTGTCCCAAGGTGCTATGCCAGAGTCCCTTGATGACCTCTCTCTTATATACAGGCAGATTGTCTTTATCACATACCAAACCAAATCATTCAACAGGTTTCCGGTTAATCGGCCAATGACCTCACCTCACAGACGTCTAAACCACCGACTCCCTCACATATGCTTGGACTGCTGTTCAACCTTAGCCGAGATTGCCCTAATTTGGCCGGTGCATTATCATAAATTTTATTTTTTAAAATATTCTAGTTAGGTTTATTGTTCCTTCTAAATATTTTTCACAGTTTGATTTTATAAGTTTGTAAGATTATTAAAACTTTATTATTTGAGCCTTCGGTAGCCATGCATGAACATCAAAGGACTCACAAAAAAGATGCAACTACATAAAAGTAGCAGTAATGTACCAATATAATAATATTCTTTATATATTATTTTTGTTTTGTTTTTATATACATTTAAAAAAAAATTATTATTCTTTTTTATTTATATTTTATGAAATAAATTCCTATTCAATTTATATAAACAACATAATCAGCCAAGACTTTTCCCAACTATTTGAGGCCTATTCAATATATATATATATATTTCTACATAAATACCAATATGATTTTTATTTTTTATATACACTAATACTTTTTTCTTTTATGATTTCAATTGCTCTTTTTTTTTATTTATATTTTATGAAATAAATTCCTATTGAATTTAAAATTCTAAGAAAAACAAAGAGTCATGCTCCATAAACTCTTTTAACTCCACAACTCTAATATACACAAATCATAACGTCTATTCAGTTAGGATTCAAAGAGACACACACAGTATGTTTTATGAACTCTCTTAACTCCACTTTAAGATGCACAAATCATAATTTTATTTTTCTATATATTCTACTTAAGACTTCTGTTCCTTCTAAAAATGCAATTACACAAAAGTAGCACTAATGTATCATTAAATAATATATTCGATTTATTTAATCACTTTATTTTCGTTTTAATTCACTTTTTTTTGTGTTAATTATTTAGGGTTATCAAGTGATTTTTTAAGAGAATCAAACAGACTTTAGGCAACGTTTGGTTTCAATTTCAATATTATTATTCAATTAACTTCAAAGAGAATAGAAATATATTTTTTTTCTTCTAAATGCAATAGAAGTTTTCAAGACCCGAACAAAATGATATCTAATTAAACAAATCAAGAAACCAACTTTTAAATGGAAAGGAACCCCAATATAACATAACCAAATAGCATTAAAGTAATATAAATTGTTGTTCATCAATATTTTAGTAAGTTATCTTATAATTAAATTTTTTTTAAGTGTGATTTTTAGTCACGTGTATTGCACACGTGCTTTTACCATTTAACAACATTGAAGATTTAATGGAGGAATCAGTAGAGGAAAATCCTCATGGTCAACAATAGCGAAAGCATCATATAAATCAGGCACTCTCCAGTCCTGAGATAAACGATCCACTATGTTTGAAGCAAAGTATACCAAACTTTGACTCAGTCTCACACCCTATCGTTCTACCAAAAACCAATTGCTGACAATCCCTGGCTTTGTGACTCCCCCGTCCAACAGCTCTCGACCTCAAGCTTACTCTCGATCTCTGTAGAAGAGTTGCAGGTAGATCAGACAACACTCCACGAATGCTTTGACCCCTTCAAAGTGTGATCGCTTCACCCCTTTTCTTCTAGATCTGAATTTGATGAAGAACGAATGAATTCTACTTTTCCGGAATTTCTGAATCTTCAATTATGCTTCAATTTCGATGAGATAGAGAACAACACTCCTAAATCACTCTTGTGTTTATGTGTGTGCTCTCAAAAATAAAATTAAAAAAATCAGACTAATTTTTATGATTTGAGTTCTAAGGGCATGATACTCAGAGCGTAAACCTATAAAAAACTGGTAGGTATGCTGGCGGACCAAAAGAGTTGCAGCATCTTCAGAGAAATCGGAGAGAGGTTCATACTGTGCTAATTTATCCCACCTAGATTAGAGGTACCCAAAATAGTCTGATACTGACAGCTTGAGTGTCTCCTAAGATGCATGAGCAATCTTCTGATAAAGTTCAAAGATACGAGCGTCATTGTGGGAGTGGGCATATATCTTTTTAAGGGCTTGTCACAGACGAAAAACGGAAGTGTGAAACATGAACATATTATAGATACACTCCTACATTGAGTTGAAGATCCAACCCAGAATGGTGCATCTATCCATGTCCCATGCAATATATTTAGTATCCGTCTTTTCCTGTTCCTTGACTAGACCCAAAAGCCAACCAGTTTTCCCTTTCCCTCCAATATAGAGTTGAAGAGAATGGGACCAAGATACGAAGTTGTGCCCATTTAAGAGCACACTAGTAACTTGTTGTGCCAGAGTATGCTATGCCGAGTATAAAGTATGCTGGACTGAGGATAAAGTGTCCTTTTGGATACTAGAATCACTCATAGTACCAAAATAAGGCTGGTCCACACGTCAAAGAGGGAGGAAAGAGAAAAATAAGTCTGAAAAAATCGATGCTTTCCTCCAAATATGCTGCCGAACAAACACCGGCAGCCCACAAAGGAAAAAAACAAACCAGCAGAAACCTAAGGGAATTCTCCTAAAAAAGGAGTAAAAAACAGAGGGTTAGCCCTCTGCTGTGCGCACAAGCTCCTATTAGGGTTGCCGCACCAAAAGAGAGAGGGGTCTAACACAAGGGCTGGGGGAGGTACGCCAGAGGTGAGGGAGAGAGAATGTGGCGGTGTTGGGGAAGGAAAATGGGGAGGCAAAATAGGATGATCAGTACTACTAGCGAATCCAAATCTAGCAGGGGGTCTGTGGTCCCAAGTGGGATACTGAGACTTAGGAACAGGGACAAGGAAATGTAAAGGAGAGAGAGGAGATATACCTGAACTTGTATCTGAGGAGGATGAAGGTAGTGGAGGCGGAGCACGAGGGCGGTGAGAATAAACCTGCAAGAGGAGGGGGGGGGGGGGGGTTGAGGAAACCATAAGAGAAGACTCTTCTTGACAAATAGGAAGAGGACGAGCAAGAGGAGAAGCCTCTTGATCGGGAGTAAAAGTTTCCTGCAAGATAGTGTTAGAACCATAAAATAGGGTATGCTTATGAAAGGTGACATCAAGAGAGTGATACATGTGTTTTGTGTACAGGATCATAGCACCGCCGGTAACCTTTTGACATGGAAGAGTTTCCTAAAAATATACATTTAATGGCCTCGTTGACAAGTTTAGTATGAGAAGGGCAACGATTTTGAACAAAACATATACATCCAAACACCCGAGGCATGATGGAAAAAAGAGTAATATCATGCTGAAGCACTTGTAAGGGGGCCTAACCATTTACTTTAGGGATATGATTAATGAGAAAAGTAGCTGTAAGAACCGCCATGTACAAGTATGACTTTGGCACATTCATACCACTTAAAGACATCGAACAACTGACATTAGTTAGCGGTTTTTATACTTTGCCACACCATTTTGTTCAGGGGTATATGGACAAGTAAGTTGATGAAGAATACCTTATTGGTTCAGTTGAGACTAAAACTCATTAGAAACAAATTCACGACCATTGTCAAACCTAATATTCCCAACGACAGTTTTATATTGAGTTTTGATCATTTGGAGGAATTGAGTGAACTAGGGAAAAACTTTAGATTTCTTTTAAAGTAAATATACCCATGTACAGCGGGAATAATCATCAATGAATATGACATAAAAACGATGCCCTAAAAAAGCAGTAACAGGAGAAGGACCCCACACATCAGAATGTATGAGATCAAATATACTAGGTGCACGATGCACATGAGAAATATAATTGGTTCTAGTATGTTTAGATAGCTCACAAATCTCACATTGAAACTTATTATCCTCACAAGCCGTTACTAATGAAGGGAAAAACAGACATAAATACTGAAAGTTTACATGCCCAAGGCGAGCATGCCATAATTTAACGTTTGAAAAGAAAAATCATAAGACCCAGAAACTGGAATATCTCTGTGGTTGAACCACATAATATCTTTGTGTTTTTCTCGTTTAATTTCTCTTCACATATGTGTTATACTTTACAACATGGTATCAGAGCCTAATTTCTGTTCCTAGGTTTGGACCCCTATTTTGTGGTATTCTTTTAGCATCTGAAATATTGCCAAGCATTTCTCGGTGCTATTTGTGATCTACTTGGGCTGCCAGTGTGTTTGATAGCATTGTTCTTCACCTTTTCCGTGTCTCCGACCGTTTGTATTGACTTGTTTGGGCTGCCGGTGTGTTCGGTAGTATTGTCTTCGCCTTTGCCATGTCTCTGGCAATTTTGTTCTACTTGTTTGGGTTGCCGGTGTGTTCGGTAGTATTATTTTCGCCTTCTCTCATCTCTCTTTATCATTTGCACTTGCTGCTACTCGTCATCTCAATGGCAAGTTGGGCATTCATGCTCCAACTTAAGGGAGAGTATTGAATATTTAATGGAGGAATCAGTGGAGGAAAATCCTCGAGTAATTGATATAGTTTCCTCTTATTGAAGATTTGTTGTTATTAGAGGAATAGTGGAGAAAAATTCTCCTTGTTTCCTATTTTCTATTTCTTTCCAGTCTCATAATTTCTTCTCTTATATAGAGGAGCCTCCACCATTGTATTGTGTATGAGTTGAGAGAGTATTATAAAAGTGATGTAGCCTTTTAGGCTCTTTGTGCCGTGGATGTAGGCCCTAGTGGCTGAACCACGTAATATTTTTTGTGTTTTTCTCGTTTAATTTCTCTTCACATATGTTTTGTACTTTACAACAAACAAAATCAAAACTGTTTTTGAAAAATTATTCAAGATAATTTAAAGCAATAAGATCAGAAAATGCCCCTTCAATTAATATGTCGATTAAAATATTGGAGGGAGTAGAGAGCACTTTAAAATTAAGCATGAAATGAAGATTCATCATACCGGAGCAATGTATTCTTCAGTTCCAACAAATGAATTTGATTGTGTAACTGGTTCTGCAACAAATGTTGGTGGAGGTTGACTCCTAGATCTTCTTTTTTTAGGCGGAGGATGCTTTATAATCTGCAAAACATTGTGTACTTATAATACTACACCAAGACAATAGAATATGACTAATTCTAGGTTCCAAAGAATATCAAGTAGAAAGATTTCCCATAATTCATATGGCATTGACATTGGATGGTGAAAAAGACATTACGGGCTTTAATCATGATTTAAGTGCAAAGCTTGGTGAGTAATAAACAAGTTCAAAAAATAAAAAATAAAAAATAAAAAAATAAATCTTCAAAGAATTTGCGCTAAAACCAAAAACAAAAGTCACATTAAAAACATTTGATAAAGAAATTGATCCACAACTTGAATGATTGTGAACAAGGGAAATTTTGGCTTCTATAATTATTAATTCTACTAAACATCCAAAACAAGATATTGGCTATTCAGGAATCATGGATGGTTTACGTAGTCTAATATGGGACCAGAAAGACTTGAAAAGACATCGCCACTTGGATGCTTTTCAATTAATCCAAAAAAGGATGAATATATCCAACCAATTAAATAACAGATCACACAATCAGGTCATGATGCCTCTAGAGGTAGCAACAATCCTATCAAATAGTTAGCAATGACAAGGGTAAGGAAGTTCAAATTTCTAGCTCTCGGCAGAGTGGATTTAACATTGAGTGCTTTTACTGTCATAGTAAGGGTCATATTACATCACAATGTCCCCATTGTACTTTAACCATAGATACTGAAGCAGTTGATCTCCAGAAGGGGAAATTGTTGATCAATTAATTGATCCTTTAGACGACCCCATAGATTTTGGGGAGGAAAATGAGGAAAACGTGGACAATGATGACACCTGCATCAATGTCATGAGGTGCATCCTATCTATTCCTGTAGGAAAGGATGACTGGAAGTACAACAACATTTTCACACATTTTTCAAGTGTGGAAATATAGAATTGTCATCAATGGAGGAAGTTCAATAAATGTAGTTTCAAAATTAAGTATTGTTGGGATGAAGCTTCAATCTGAACCACACCACAACCATATGAGGTAGCTTGGGTAGATAAATCTTCCTTGTCAGTTTCAGGAAGAGATTTGGTTCCCATCCAAATAGGCGATTATTCATATAAGATTTGGGGTGATGTCTTACATATGGATGTAGCTCACATACTCCTTAGTAGCCCTTGGCTTTATGACTTGGATGTGACAAATCATGGTCGAGAGAATACCTATCAAGATATTTCAATATAAGGGAAAAACTGTCGTGTTAAGACCTGTGAAGCTCTCAGAGGTCAAAACATAGGTCATCTCCTCAACCCAGTGATAAGAAAATCCTTATCATCTCAACCTGAAATGAATTTGAGAAAGAGGGAAAATAATTGAGTCTTGTGATATCATTAGTGGCTAAAGAAATTCCTCAGAGTCCTTCTGACAAATTGATGGATCTCCTGCTTCCTGAAGCAATTTAAGATGTGACGCCAGAGAAATTAACTGATGAATTGCCACCCATTAGGGATATTCAACTTGCCATTGTTAGTCCCAGGATAATTTCCTAATCTTCCTTATTCTTGAATGAATCCAAAGGAACAACCTGAATTGAAATGGCAAGCTGATGGGCTTTTGCAGAAAGGATTAATTTGAGACACTTTTAGTGCGTGTGCTGTTCCTTCTCTTTTAACTTTTAAAAAAGATGGCTCGTGGAGAATGTGTGTTGTTATTTGTGCTATTAACAAAATCATCAAGTCCTTGTTCCCTATACATTATCTTGATGACATGCTAGACCTATTAGTAGGTTCACAATGGCTCTCCAAAATTCACTTGTGCAGTAAATATCGCCAAATCTGTATAAGACCAAGTGAAGAATTGAAAACCACCTTCAAAACTCAAGATGGAATTTATTGTTGGTTTGTCATGTCCTTTGATTTGTCAAAAGCACCTAGTATTGCGTCCTTTGATTTGAAAACTTTTGGTGGTTCTTTTGATGACGTTTTGATATATAGTGCGTCTAAAGGAGAACACTCAAATTACCATCGACTGGTTCTTCAGTTTCTTCAAAACGAACAATTATAAGCTAATCTCAAGAAATGCATTCCTCCAAGAATATACCTTTGTGTTGAAACACTGTGAAGGTGTAGAAAATAAACTAGCAGACGCTCTTAGTCCATTCATTCTTGTTCTTGAACCCTATCACAAGGGATGGTGTGTCAAGCACAATCGGTGAGCATTGAAGCCCCGCCAAGGGCTTAGTGCATGAACCAGAGGGTGATTTAGCCCGATGTTGCACTGGATTAAGTTGTGCATCTCCACTCTGAAGTTCTCTGTAGCATCAATGTTATGTGTACTTTGTGATTTGGAGATGGCTATTTATTTCGAAAGTCTAGACTCTGCATTCCTCATACTTCGCTTAGGGCTTTTCTAGTTTGGGAATACATGCAGCGGAAATTGCTGGTTTCTTTGGTAGAAAAGACAATTTCTCTAGCGGAAGATAGATTTTATAGGCTAAAAGGGGATGTTGCTTGAATAGTATACCAGCGTTGCACTTGTCAGCTAGCAAAAGCTAGGAAGAAGAACAATGAATCGTGTACCCCTTTGCCCTTTCTACATGCACCTTGGATGGACTTTAGCATGAACTTTGTCTTGGGACTACCAAAACAGTTGGAGATATAATTCCATTCTGGTTGTAGTAGATAGATTTTAAAAAATGGCTCACTTTATTCCCTGTAGTAAGGCAGTTGATGCCTAACATGCAGCTAAGCAATTCTTTAAGGAAATTGTTAGGCTCCATGGCTACCTACTTCCATTGTGTCACACAGGGATGCCAAGTTTGTTAGTAATACACTATGGAAACTTTTTGGGACCCATCTAATTTTTTTATTTATTTTTTAATCAGCTTATCACCCTCAGACTGATGAACAAACCGAGGTTGTTAATCGAAGTTAAGGAGATCTGCTTAGATGTTTAGTAGGACAGCGCTCAGGTTTTTGAGATTTCTTGTTATCAAATGCAGAATTTGCATATAATGGCTCAGATCCACAGGTAAATGTCCTTTTGAAATTGTTTATGGATTTTCTCCTCGCCAGCCTATTGATGTTATTCCTTTACCTCCGAAGTCCCCTCATTCTGAGTCCGTCGATTCCTTTGCCCAAATATCTGTGCTGTTCATTCTAATATATGACGGAAAATTGCTTCAAGTAATGAAAATTATAAACTTATTGTTGACACTCATAATCGGAATCAAGAATTTAATGAAAGAGATTATGTTACGGTTCATGTATGTCCAGAGAGTTACCCTGAGAACTCATTTAAGAAGTTGCATACTTGAACCGATGGACCTTTCCGTATAATTTATAATTTTGAATTCAACGCAAGTTTACTTGACTTAAATAAAATCTGATAGTCCAATTTCAATGTGGATGACTTGTCTCCTTACTGAAGCACCTTTGAGCCTCCCAGTTAGAGATACATCTTCATCAGCACCTGTGCCTGTCCTTCCACCATTTCAATCACAAGGCACATATCAAATTGAGGATGTACCGATGTAGTAGTCTATCAAATCATCAATTTTAGTCAGGGTGATTATCAACGCTATCTTGTCCGTGGGAGAGACGGTCCACATACATATGGTACATGAATTATTGAGGACGAGTTTTGACGATGTAGACCTATTATAGCAGTACCACCAAGTTTACTCTCTGGGGTCAAGTTCTCAGTCAGGGAGAACTGATAGAGATAATGATGGACCCTATGCGCCACATGCTATACTTACCTATTATGGGTGTAGGCGCAGAGGATATATATATTTTTGTATTTGTATTTTGGGAATATTTTGTTATTTGTATTTTTATTTTGCATTTGTATTTTGGGGATATTCTATTATTTTATTTTTTAGACTTGTATTAGGGCTTCACTAGGGTTCTTTGGGTTGCCTATATATATAACGGCCTATGTATTAGGTTGGAGCATTTTTTGATTGATATTTTGATATTGAGATTTCTGCGTTCCCTCTTACAGCTCTCTCTTCTCTCTGTTCTTTTTATTTCATCACTCTCTTCTCTATCTCATCTCTCTCTGCTACATCAGGATGTTTCAAAAAATCATTTACTAATTAATAGTAGCTTTCTTAATTTTACCAGTCAACTGCACTGAGGAGCAATTAAAAGATAATCTGTATGAGACTGTATGTAGTAAAACCATATAATCTTCTAATAGGAATATCACAACATACTTGGGGTTTAGATGATGTCATAAATGATAGATCAAAGTCAGTTAGTACTACATGCCCATCCTTTTGAAGAAGCACATTTTCCGGCTTCAGGTCTCGATAAATTATTCCTGTACCGTACCAAACGAGAAAAATAAAGAATTAGTAAAATTATTTGTATAAAATCAATTGGTAGTATACATTAACAGTTAGAACCAAATCAAAGAAATAATTATTTGGTAACTGATGAAGATTGAATAATTTTTCAATCAAGGTTGCCACACACAAGATGATAAAACTGTTTTGGCTTAGGGCAGGAGCCCCGAACTCCCAATCCACATAGACAGAGGCTTACTTATCAAAAGACTCTGGATGGACCAACCTCAAATATTTAGACCCCATTATCTATCTCCAAAATGAGCACTATTTTGACAAACTATATTCACATGATTAGAGGGACCCCTATGACAGCATGTCTCCCAAATCCAGACTCATACATCCTTTAGACAGTTTTGATTATTAGACACCTGCAATGCGTAGCACATCCACCCATAAATACTATATCATGTATAGTAATTAATCCAAGATATATCGGTCTGTAAAGACGGAAAAGCCACTGAAAATGAAGCATCATGTTTAGTATAACTCTTATAGTTTCAGCATTTTGTTTGAGCAAAAGTTCACTGGAGATACCATAGGCTGGTTGTGTTAAAGGAAACTTTAACAATTTACATAAGGAGTAGTCTAATAACAAACCATAATTACAGATACACATAAATCAATTGGTCCATCCTCTCACATCCCAATCATATGGGAGTTAGACACGAATTCTGCTCTATCTTTCCAGCCTGCCAGTTTTACTAGTTTATGTGTGTCATTTTTGGTTTTGCCTCTACTATCCTAGCAGCTCCAACTTGCAATTTTAGTTTCTCACAGCCACTGTCAAATGTCAAATCACATTCTCAAAATATGCCCACACCAACATTGGCATATCCTCAGTTTGACACCTATTTGAAGCCAATGTGCTTATTTCTTGTTGTCTTTCCTAGACTTTCCAATTTCAGCAATCTCAGAATCGTCAATCTATGAAACACAAATCCTGTAGGCCGAAACATTTATTGAACTAAATTTACATGATTTATGAAGCAGAATTTATTTTTATTCAGATATAATTTAACTATTCAAGGCTTAATCCAATATTCTCTGAATTTGCTATCAATTATAAATTAAGTACGCCAATGAACTCAACCAAAGAAAATGAAGGTAGTTTTAGCTATATTGACCATGGTCATAAATGGTTTGACACAATACTTCCAATTAAAATCAATTGATATGTAAGACCATAGTATGTATTTAAACTTAAAACTATATTCAACTCAATTAAGCGTTAGTACCAACCACTTCGTTTGGCTGCATGAATCACTTTTCACCATCTAGCCCTATCCTAAGCCATATCCCTACTAAATCCTTGGTTGTCTTTCTATCAAAGCCTCGACCAGCACATTTTGTCTTCCTCCTGTTCCTTTGTCCATTACCATTGAATCTGTTGGTTTTTATTCACATGGCTAAACCATCTTAGAAAATCTTCCCATCTTCTCTTTATGAGAGCATGATATCCATTGCTGACCCATTCCTGAAAAAGCTTAAACTTTTAAGATAAGTGCATATCTAACATGTTATTGAAGCTTTGGTTCCGGGTGGTCATGGGTTCAAGTCTCTGTATTTCCAAATATCACCCCACCCCCACGCGCATCTATCTATCCGTTTGCCTCTCGGGTTGCATCTGAGGGATAGTGCAAGAGCTGTGTTCACTCATTCCTTGAAAGCTTAAACTTTTGAGGCAAGTGGTAATCCAACAGTCTTCACTTCACTTGGGCCACCTAAAACTTCTCAAATACATTCATTTCTTATCTTCTTGCATTGCCAATCACTATCTTGGTATTGTCATTTTGGTCACACCAATTTCTCTTGTTCAAACTCAACATTTCAGTGTAAATCTGGCCTAGCTGTCCTAAAAGATACTCTCAAAATTGATATCACACAACACTACAATAGCACATGTTCATTCCATCCATACAGCTCTAATTTTGAAGTCAACATCTTCATCAATCTCTCCTTTCACTCATAACAAATGATTGAAGACAATGAACTTGGTCATTTTTTTGCATCCCTTTGAAGTATTTCCATAACTAGATTACCAAATAAAAACTACAATGCAACAGCTAAACCTGAATAAAAAAAACAAAAAAGAAAGAAAGAGAGAAAGAAAAGAAAAGAAGTGACCGTATGAGCTATCGGCTGCTAGCATACCTAAACAGTGAAGATATTCAAACCCAATAACGACCTCTGCCGCATAGAACCTGGAAAGTAACAGCAGTAGTACAAAAAATTGTGCATAAGAAATGCATGTCAATCTGGAAGAGAATAGCTTTGGTGATTCAATAAAAAATGGAAAGAATTCCACAATTATGAGCACTAAAATACAGTCACCTTCTCGCATGCATAGCATATCATAGTCAAATAACAAATACAATATCCACGACCTAAGAAAATGAGTCAAACAAATAGAAGCATAAAAAATGGAAAGAATTCCACAATTATGAGCACTAAAATACAGTCACCTTCTCACATGCATAGCATATCATAGTTAAATAACAAATACAACATCCACGACCTAAGAAAATGAGCCAAACAAATAGAAGCAGATCTTCTATGTTCATCGACCAGATGGAACACTTTATCATAATTTGCTCGTGATCATACAAAATTTGCAGCATATGTATCAACGTGCAACAATCAGACAAGTTTATGCCAATTGTAATTTCGAGTATTTTAAATTGAGTGGCTGCCACCATAAAGCATTAGAACTACACACTGAGATTACCTCGCAGATTCCTCTTTAAATATTTTCATAGGTTGTTTGTCAAGCAAGGCAAATAACTCTCCTCCAGGGCAGAAGTCTGTTATCAAGCAAACGTGTGTAGATGTCTGAGGGGACAAATAGATATCAGTATTACTTGGTTTCGTCAGGTAATTCAGAATTTAAAGAAGAAAAAAAATAGAGAAATAATTTCAGAATCAACATCAATTAAGAAAGCCAAAAACAAATAGAATAGGAAAAGGAACATAATACAGAACTCAATCCGGTGCTAGGCATTTTAGTTTCAAATGAATTGGAACGTATCAAGCACTTGAGCTAGTAATATTTTGACAAGTAGTACCAGCATATCAATGCATAAATTTTGTTCATTAATACTATCATGTGAATGAGTTCTGTTTAACCAGCTATCTTTATTTTCCATAAACCTTTCCTTAATTTTATCATTTCATAAAACTGCAACTATAGAACCAGAATAGCAAATGTTTTAAATGCATTCTTCACAAACTTTCATGTTACCAAAAATGAGATCTAGACAATTAATTCAGATATTCACACACTTTCATGTTACCACCAGCGCATTGTAGCTCTATCATATGACAGTGAACAAGAAAAAAAAATCACATCAGAAGTAAATGGAAGAAACACAGAGAGCCGCAGAGTGCCCCCGGGCCCTTCTCCTATTTTATAATATTAGAGTGAGAAAAATGTAAGCATCCATAATGACCTCATTGGCAGGCATTGATAATAACTTAGATGATGCACAATGTTCTTCTTGAATCAATTCTGAATAATTAATTGATCCAAATTAATAGGAGTCACAGAACAGAACTTTCTGGCATCCATCTTAAATTGACAATTACGCTGAGCAAATTGCTTTCTATTACTACTGTGTTACAACCAACAACAATACATGCATGAACACAAATACCCATGCACACAAACAGACATGCATAAATGGTGGGATAAAGACATTGCCAAGTTGAATTGAGTCAAGAATGTTGTGTTTGAGTGTGTTACTGTGCATGTCTGTTGGTGAAATCGAAGCATATAATGGCTAAAAAGCTCTTCCTTTCGAAGAGAGTGGTGGGATTTATTGCCTGTTTTTCCTTGTTGGTTTCACAAATGATTAAGGAATTAATTTGTCTATTTGCTCGTTTATGGGATGGCATTCGGTCATCTCTCTCCATTTTAATAAAGTTTATTGATACATCAAAAATAACAAAGAAAAAATGAAAACCTGAAAAGAGGCATATAGTGTTGGAAGGAAAGGATGATCCAGAAAAGAAATGATTTCCCTTTCAATACATGCTCGGTGAACCTGCACAAAAATTCATAATGACATAAGATCTTTTACTACATACAAAATTGGTTATACTAATCAAGTGTCTCTCTTGCGCAAATCAAGAAATGCAGATATGCAAAGTGCCATATTGCAAAATTCCTAAAGCAGACATCAATAGAGAAATCTATAAATTCATTCCATTACATATTTGTAGATATATGCTCTAACTTGATTGGAAAGAAGTATCCCAAACCCTTCGGAAGATGAAGAAAAAAAATCCATCACCCACAGACCATTTTCTTCAACTTTGTGGATTCAAAGTTACGACTTTGTGTTACGACTTTGTGGATTCAAAGTTACCCCTTGTTCCTTTGTGAATGATTCATAGCTTCTGCTACGTCAACTTAACAAAGAGTGCAAGTGTAGTGCTCGTTTTGCAGACAGGATACTTTACCACAATGCCCAGTTTGTACGGGATAAAGGAAAGGATGATGATGATGATGATACATTACCACAATGCAGGGATACAATTTTCGTTTATCAGTTCAGGTTATACAATTCCTAGCAGAAGGTAGTTGTTTCCCTTAACATGACCTCACAAATTTTGATGATTTTGTTATGATTCATGTACAGATGACAACAGCGAAGGATAGGATAACATAAAGCCAAACACTATCATTGGGAAAAAGACCAGTTTTTAAAGCAAACCAGATCTTCTATGTCAATATCTTATCCACAACTGTGTTTTATGTAAAGCAATACATCAGATTTGTTTAAAGTTTAAAAGAGCTTGTCTAGGAAAGGGTTCATGAAAGAAGCTATAGAGTTTCTGACTATTCCTAAGCATGTGTTATATCTTTGCATGCAAAAAATTTAAATAAATAAATAAAAATAAAAATAAAATATATATATACACAAATATGTGCTATTCAATAATTTCTAGCACTCTATGGTGGAGTTAAGAAATTAACATATATGTGTGCATATATCTAATTATTAAGGTTCTCTTACCAGGAGATTCCTGAATTAGCCAAATTTTAATATAAATTGATCATGTGAACTCTCCTAAATACTACTTGCAAGTCACCAAATGAGTAGAAATACAATATAGAAGAAAGATGAGAGAAATATGTTAGTTTTGAATGAGATAAATCACTCATTCACGGCTCTAGTATTTATAGATATAAAGAGCACATGCTCATATTACAAGAAAGGAAACTAAATCAAATCACAGCATATTCTATAGCATATTAGTAGAAATATAAAAAGAAGAAAAATGAGAGAATTGCGTAAAGGCTTGAATGAGATGAATCACTCATTCACAACTCTAGTATTTATAGATAAATATAGCACATGCTCATATTAAAAGAAAGGAAACTAAATCAAATCTAAATAAAATCAAAGCATATTCTATGGCATATTCTATAGCATAATCAAATCTCTGCTAATATGGTAAGTTATTCCATAAATCGTGGCTATCATATCTGCTAGCACTCCCCCTCAAGTTAGTACGTGGATATTTGAGACGCCCTTGGATAATGTATCTTCAAACACGGTCTTGTTAGCACCCTTCTTCAAAATCTACAAGTTGCAAAGTGCAAATCTGACTAGCGACGATTGTCTCTCAAATGAAGTGCCGATCAACAAATAAAAAATGTCTCCTTAGACTATAAACAATTAACAATGTCTCCTCAGACCATAAACAACCAATCATATCTCCTCAGACCGTAAACAACCAACAATGTCTCCTCAGACCATTTTCCCTCACAAGTTTAAAACATGTAGATGGAAGAATCAACAATGTCTTCTCAAACCATTCCCCTTCATACATATGTTTAAACATGAAAGAATCAATAATGTCTCCTCGAACCATAAAAAAGAAATAACTATGTCTCCTCAGACCATTTCTGAATAGGTAGTGCCAAACTCGCAACGCCCTCATTGAGGTCCGACCACCCTGCCTACCCGACACCTCCCGGATAGGCGATATCACCTAAAGACCATTCCGGAATGGGTAGTGCCAAACTCGCAATGCCCTCATTACAGTCGGGCCACCCTAGCTCTGATACCAAGTGGAAATATAAAAAGAAGAAAAATGAGAGAATTGCATAAAGGCTTGAATGAGATGAATCATTCATTCATAACTCCAATATTTATAGATAAAAAAAGTACATACTCATATTACAAGAAAGAAAACTAAATCAAATCAAAGCATATTCTATGGCATATTCTATAGCATAATCAAATCTTTGCTAATATGGTACGTCATTCCATAAATTGTGGCTATCATATCGGCTAACAATATTCTATGGCATATTCTATAGCATAATCAAATCTTTGCTAATATGATAAGTCATTCCATAAATTGTGGCTATCATATCTGCTAACAAAATGCTTATTTGACACAACGCTACTCATGATATGACTAGTACAGTTACTCATATTGAACATTTTCCAGGGACAAAAAGGTAACAAGAATGATAGAAAGACCTTGATTCAATTTATGACAAACATTAAATAGTTATTTTGGTCAAATGAAATCACAGTAAACATTAAGATGTATTTTGATAGAAACACCTATGCAACGTAGCATGGGTAACAAATCATGGTACTATTTAACATTCAGACCTTGTTACGGTTCAACATTACAGATTTGTCCATCGCCTTCATAGCATACAGCTCACCTGTACCTTTTAGTTCCACCAAATGAACGCTGCAACCACCATCAATTATTTAATCAACCAGGAGATAATGGAATTCCACAAACATAAAGAAGGCGTCAGGTCTTAAAAATTTTAAACATGCTTCCACTGAGATGTAGCATTTGAAAATGTTTGTTCCCTTAGCAAAATTAAACTGCCATTACTGGAACTTAGCAGCATAAATCAATTATGCTTCAAGTTGAAAGAAATCAAACAAATGGGAGCATAAGAATGAAATTAATAGTGGCCAGTTTGAAGAAATGTGGCAGGAGAGGAGCCATGGTTTCTTCTTCAATTATCTGCAACCAATCTAACAAGTAACAACCAGAAACGAGAGAAATCAATGTCCTCAGATAGTTTGCATCTGTCTTGACAACAACTTGATAAAGGTAAATCTATCACAACCTCTAAAAAAATTAAAAGATAGCCATGTCGCGAGAAGCTTAACTCAACAATTCCAGCACAAATGCTGAAATTTTCTACCTACTTGGGAACCATTAGATATTAGTTAAATTTGAAGTTCTCATTGAACCCATATTCCTTAACATTCTTCCATTTTTTTACGTATTCGTCCCATATTAGTAGCATCATCTCACTTCCATCCAATTACTGAAGACTTGTGCAACACGACGTAAAGTTGAACATATTTGAAATACCTCAAAAATATTTTATTTCATCTTTTTAATTATTAATACTAACAATGATGCAAAAAAATCCATCTTTTAAGGGGATCTTACAGTCCCTTTTGGGGTGAGACAGGAGGTGTTTGCACCACTTGTTCATCTCAACATCCTTGTTTTAGTCAGATTGTTAATATTTCCAGCTTATAAAAATCAAGATAGGGTACCAAAAACTATTTATTCATGGTTCCTCTAAAAATCAGAAGATCTAACCTTGATGTAAGTGTTGTCAAGGGCTTATTTGTTATTACTTATATAATGTTGGGGCTTATGTGTAATTTCTAAAACTTGTTATTATAAATAGAATGTGGTGAAAGGATGAAAGTATTCTTTCATTCTTTCTCTCTTTCCTCGTCTCTCTCTTTTTCTCTCATCCGCTTTCTTCTCTTTTTCTTCTTCTTTATCACTTACTTTTGATTTGATTATATCTTAAAGTCAACATGGTATTAGAGCATGGTTTGTAAAGCTCTATGTGTGTAGTTGAAACCCTAGGGCAAGTTTGTGTAAGCCCTAGGGTGTGAAGGGTGTTCAGATTCATGAGAGATAGGGAGAGAGAGAGAGAGATTGAGAGAAAATGTATCCTCCGTATTGTATATCTGCAGCCCTCTAAATAAGGCTAATATAAGAAAAGGGTTAGAGACCCTAATTACATAATTACACAATAACCCTAACTACTATGGGTAATTACATAATGACCCAACACTATAAAGAATATACATTCTAACACTCCCCCTCAAGCTGGACAATATATATCAAATAATCCCAGCTTGGAATAAATAGTCCTTAACCGATTATGACCCAGTGCTTTGGTAAACATATCAGCTAGTTGATCTTCAGACTTCACAAATGGAGTAGAGATGCTACCACTTAATATTTTTTCCAGAGTAAAATGACAATCAACCTTAATATGTTTGGTTCTCTCATGAAACACAGGATTCGATGCTATGTGAACTGCTGCTTGGTTATCACAGAACAATGGAGTAGGAGTTTCAACTGTCAACTCAAGTTCTTTTAGAAGATTTTGTATCCATGTCAACTCATTAGTGGTATGTGCCATTGCCCTATACTCGGCTTTAGCACTAGATCAAGCTACTACCGTTTGCTTTTTTTTCCATGTAACAAGATTTCCTCTTACAAATGTATAGTAGCCTGTAGTAGATCTCCTATCTGAAGGAGAACCAGCCCAGTCAGCATCTGTAAAACCTTCCACCCTGAGATGACCATTTGAATGGTATAGTAACCCAAAACCTGGAGCTCGCTTGAGATATCGGATAATCCGAAGAACAGCAATCCAATGTGGCATTCTAGGAGCTCCCATAAACTGACTTACAATGCTAACTGCATATGAAATATCAAGTCGAGTGATAGTGAGGTAAATTAATTTCCCAACAAGGCGACGAAATCTGCCTGGGTCATTAAATAGATCACCCTCATCAAACACAAGTTTTGTATTTAAATCTATAGGAGCATCAACCAGACGACCACCTAACATACCCGTTTCTTCTAGCAAATCCAACACATATTTTCGTTGAGATAAACTTATACCTTCCTTGGATCTAGCAACTTCAATACCCAAGAAGTATCTAAGCTTACCCAAGTCTTTAGCGTGGAACCGATTTTGCAGAAACAACTTCAACTTAGCAATGCCTGCAGAATCATCACCTGTGATCACAATATCATCTACATACACCACAAGAAAGATGAAGCTAGCCTTAGTGCGCAGGTGAAATACCAAATGATCGGTCTGGCATCTGTTAAGACCAAATTTCTAATGCCGCCTCAGAGAATTTCCCAAACCAAGCCCGCGGAGATTGTTTCAATCCATACAGGGCCTTTTTAAGGCGACAAGCAGTGTGACGAGACTCCCCCTGAGCAACAAACCCAGGTGGTTGCTCCATATAAACTTCTTCAACCAAGTCACCATGTAAGAAGGCATTTTTGACATCCAATTGGAACAACGGCCAGTTACAATTGGCAGCAATGGAAATAAGAATCTGAATAGAAGAAATCTTAGCAACAGGAGAAAAAGTCTCATCATAGTCAACACCATAAGTTTGAGTGTACCCCTTTGCAACTAGACGAGCCTTCAACCGCTCAATAGACCCATCTTGAAGGTATTTAACTGTGTAGACCCACTTACAACCAACCGGTTTGGAGCCCGGAGGTAAGGGAACAAGATCCCATGTTCCATTACGATGAAGGGCATCCATTTCATCTACCATGGCTTGCCGTCAACCCAAATCAGAGAGAGCATCCTGCAATGTCTTTGGAACAAAAGTAGCAGATACTTTGGATAAAAAACAAGATAAAGAGGATGAAATATGACGATAGGAGACAAAGTTAGAAATGGGATGAGTAGTAACACACGACCGAATACCTTTACGAAGGGCAATAGGCAAATCATCAGGTAAAGGCGTCGGATCCGAAGACTTTGAAGGAGATGGAGGGAGCGAAGTAGGCGGTCAAGGTCGTCGAGTATAAACCTGCAAAGGAACAGCACACCGAGGAGGTGCGGAAACAGGAAACTGAGAGGGAACCGATGGCAGAGGTGGCTCAAAAGTAATATCGAGAGGACTAGTAGAATCAGAAAAATATGGGATAGACTCAGAAAATGTTACATCAGCACTAGTGAAATAGCGTTGGAAATGAGGACTACAACACCGATAGCCATTCTGAGTGCGTGAATGCCCAAGAAAAACACATTTAGTTGCACGAGGGTCGAGTTTATCAAGACCAGGTCCAAGGTAATGGACAAAACACACACAACCAAAGACCTGCGGAGTCAGATTAAACGATACGGAGTCGGGAAATAGAATAGAGTGAGGAGATTTACCGTGTAGCACTGATGAGGGCATCCCATTAATAAGATGACATGCCGTAAGAACAGCATCACTCCAAAAACGTTTGGGAACATGCATATAAAATAAAAGGGCAAGACAGACTTCCAAAAGATGGCAATTTTTACGCTTAGCTACTCTATTTTGTTGCGGAGTATAAGTACAAGAGGATTGATGAATGATGCCTTTTGCATGAAAATAAGTCTCAAAAGTGTCCGAGAAATATTCTTTGGCATTGTCAGAACGTAAAACTTTAATGGAACACCCAAATTGAGTTTTAATTTCTTTGCGAAATATTTGAAAAATAGAAAACAACTCAGAACGATTTTTCATTAAAAACAACCAAGTCATCCGAGAATGATCATCCACAAAAGTCACAAAATAACGAAATCCATTAATAGAAATATGTTTTATTGGTCCCCATACATCTGAATGAACTAATTGGAAAGGACTAGCCACACGATTATTAGCTCTTGGCTTAAAAGATACACGATAATGCTTACTAAGCTGACATGTTTCACAAGACAGAGACTTAACATGACTAAGACCGGGAACTTGACGCTGCAGAACTGATAGTGAGGGATGGCCGAGACGACAGTGCCACTGGAAAGAAGACAAAGATGATTGAAGTGCCGTGGGAGATGGTGCAAGATCGAAGTAATACAAGCCACCTACTTCATGTCCCATACCAATCCTCTTCTTCGTCTTGAGATCCTGAAAAAGACAACATGTGGGATAAAATGTTACAGAACAGTTAAGAGATTTAGTAATTTTGCTAATGGACAACAAATTAAAAGGGAATTGAGGAACATATAACACAGAGGAAAGGGACATAGAAGGGGTAAGAGGAACAGTTCCCAAACCCAAGACTTTAGTTGATGATTCATTAGCAAGAGTAACACTTTGAGAGGAAGGAACAGACTGAAAATCAGATTGGAGATGAGAACTACCAGTCATGTGATCGGATACGCCAGAGTCAAGAATCCAGGGACTCTGACTAGAGGACAAAAAACATGCAGGGGAACTACCTGATTGAGCCAAGGATCCCATGGAAGATGAGGTGGAAGTCCGTTGTTGAGACAGAAATTAAGCATACTCATCACGGGGAATCGTGACCATAGCAGTCTCAACAGCCACATGTGGAGCAGTGGATGTGGCAGAGAGAGAAGAATCCCCATCACTAGCAGTCACTTGATGTGCATAGGAAGAAGATGGCAGTTTCCCGTGAAGATCCCAACAGTAATTGACCGTGTGATTAGTAAGACCGAAATGAATGCAAATTTTGGAGTCTCTGCCTTTGCCTCGACCACGGCCACGGCCAAAACGACCACCACCACCACCTCCACGAGAAGACTGAAAGCCACCCTGGTTCACAACTAAGGCAGAACGTTCACTGTTAGAAGGAGCAGTGACACCACTGGAAATACTGCCTGAAGAACCACTAGATAAAGTGGCACGCTGGAGTCTGGATAACATATCAGGTAGAGAGGGAAG